TTGTGGATGTCCTCTTTAAGTTTCCGATTACAAGGAAAACATTGTGTTGGTAATTACAAGCTTTGCTCTTCCACACTTTTTTTCTTTTTATTTTTCTTTATGTTGCCGGTTTTAACGAGAATAGAATGGTAGTTTTGGTGACTTTGTGTTTATAAAAATGCCACTTATAATTAGGCGGCATTTTGATTGGTTAGTTTAGTTTGTAATTTTCATTTTTAACCTAAATTTGCAAGGTCTTCAAACAAATGAATGTTTTTGAATCTGTCGAGCTTTATATTAAAAGAAAATGGTCATGTTTTAGGTGATGTTGAGTAACTACATTCCTATGTGGATAATCGAATTTATTTCTCCTTTTAATGTCATGATTTTGTATCCGCAGAAGTTTTCTCACTAGGGCATATAATCCTTATTTGACCTAAAGTTTAAGAGCCTTTAAAGAGATGGGTAGTGGTCTTGACAATAGTGAGGAGCTTCATAATCAACCCAGAGCCGCTGAAGAGATGGAGGTAAATCCAACTGGTGTAAATAGTGATAAGGCACAAGAGCATGCACCAGATCAAGAGAAATTTGAAATAAATAAAAGGAGAAAAACTTCTATTGTTTGGGATGATTTTGAGGAAATTTGGGTGAATGGAATCAAGAAGGCAAAATGTAGGCATTGCCCTGGCATCTTTGTAATTGGTAAAACTGGTACCACTACAAGCATTAATAGGCATAGAGACAATTGTGTGAAAAGGAAGATAAATTTGCGAGAAGCCGCAAATCAAACGTGATTGAATCTTTTGCCAGGAGTTGCTTCTCCTTCTCTTCCCCCTTTGCATCCTGGAAAATTTACATGGAGTATTTGAGGGAGGGTATTGCACATTGGATTATGATGCACGAGCATCTATTCTCTATTTTGGAAGAAAAAGGATTCAATGCCATGATGAAGCGAGGGATTCCAGAATGGAAGAAGATTAGCAGAACTTCATGCAAAGATGATTGTATGAAATTTTATGAGATTGAGAAGAAAAAGTTGAAGAAAGTTCTTGAAGGTGTTAACAAAATTAGTTTGACGACTGATTGTTGGAAGTCAAAGAATCAAAATATTGAATATATGGTTGTCACTGGTCATTGGATTGATAGCCATTAGAAATTGCAAAAGAGAGTTCTAAATTTCTTTCAAATTCCACCACCAAGAACGGGTATTCAACTCAGTGATGCTGTTTTTGCATGCATGAAAGCTTGGGGAATTGAGAACAAGGTTTATTCTATTACCGTGGATAATGCATCTAGCAATGATGCAGCCATAAAGGAATTAAAAGAGACAATGCAACTATCTAGAAAATTATTATACTCTGGAGATTTGTTTCCTGTGCGTTGTTGTGCGCATGTGTTGAACTTGTGCGTTGGTGATGGATTGGATGAAATTAAAAGTGCAATTCAAGTGGTGAGAGAAAGTGTGGAGTATGTTAACCGTTCCGAGCAAAGGCGTTCAACTTTTGCCAAGTGTGTGCAACTTTTACAATTGAAAGATAGGAAAATGGTGTGTGATTGCAAAACCCGACGGAACTCAACGTTTGAGATGTTGAGTTTGGCATTAAAGTTCAAGGATGCTTTTATAATGTATGCCAATCGTGATCATCTCTATGACTGTCGTCCCTCAGAAGCTGATTGGGTTAAAATTGAAAAGATTTGTTCAATTTTGGAAGTCTTTTGGACTGTAACACACATCGTGTCAGGTACAAGATATCCTACTTCTAATTTGTATCTCCAGGAAGTTTGTAAGATAAAGAAATCATTAGATGAAGCATCTTATCATCCTGATGAACTTATTCAAAAATTGGTTGGCAAAATGAAGTTAAAATTTGACAAATATTGGGGTGAATGCAATCTTGTAATGGGTGTTGCTGCTGTGTTGGATCCCACGCAAAAGATGCTTGCAATTAATTTTTGTTTTCCAAAGCTCTATTCTAAATGTGATTGTACAAAAGATACTGATAAGGTTAAAGCTACAATCAAAACTCTTTATCAAGAGTATGTGGCTGAATTTTCAGAAAAAAGGTCTTCTCATTCATCTGAAACTTATGGTTCTTCTACTTTTGTTGGGAGTCTAAATTCTACTGGTCATTGGGATGCTGATTTTGAGTCTTATTGCACAAAAGCTGCAACTTTAGAACCTAAGCCGCCTAGTAAGTATGAATTAGATGAGTACTTGGATTCAGATCGTCTAAAAAGGAATGAGCTTGCTAAGGATTTTTCATGTTTAGATTGGTGGAAAATGAATCGTATGCGCTATCCTATTTTGTCAAGGATGGCAGCTGATATTTTAGCTATTCCTATAAGCTCTGTGGCTTCAGAAGCAACATTTAGTGCTGGCACTCGGGTCATAGATACTTACCGATCATCACTATCCCAGGCACCGTAGAGGCCCTACTTTGTGGAGGAGATTGGTTGCAACATCTTTATGGAGTGACAAAGTGTCAAAAAGTAAGTTTAGTTTTCTTGTAATGAATTTTCAATTGATCTTTTTCCTGGTGAAAACTAGATAACCACTTTTTATTTGTTTTTTGTTTTATGAATCTCCTTGCAGAAAGAGAAAAGCTATAAAGAATATTTTATTAAAGTACCTGATCAACAAAAGTAAGTTAAATTCCACTACGTTTAGTTTGATTTATTCTTGTACCAGTTTGGTTTTACAGTTGAACTTATAATGTTTCCAATTGTTTTGATGCAGCTGAGAAGGCATAAAGAGTGCATGATGACTAGGTTTATCTATTATATAGTGATTTTTGGTTAGTAGCCATTTCTATTTTGATGCCTTTTGGCACAAATAGAATATCATTTCATCAAAGCTGTTTTGTGAAGCTTTGTAACAACGGCTCTTTTGTATAGTTGTAGGATGGGCTGAATAGAAGGAAATATATGATTAAAGTTGTTTATGAAATTTTAGGATCGAACCATCAGAGGTTATTTTGTATAGGCTTTTGTATAGTTGCAGGATGGCCATTTTGTAAAGCTCATCACTGCCGTTTTGTGAAATTTTGTGAAAGAAGATACCAGTATAGAGCCACCAAGGGGTATTTTGTATAGGCTTAGGAGAAGGGTCATTTTGTAAAGTTTTTAGTCTTAGTAATCACTGCGAAATGTGAAGGTCATGGTTATCTGGTGAAATTTTGGGGAGAATGAACCAATGAACTTAGTTGATTACTTTCACATTCAACTTTGATATGCAATGGATTAATTTAATATTTAGTTTTTTTTTTTTGAATCTCGTTTTCTTCTTTTCTTGCAAAAAAGGGAGTGTTTTCAATAGTCTTCTCCCTTTTTGTTTTTCTTTGTTTCATCGAGTTAAAGTTTAAGGCAGGTACCATACTCATTATGCTCAAGCTTGAATTTGAATTTCGAGCTCTTCGAGTCGAGCTCGAGCTGCACAAAAATTGTCTGAGTTGAGTTCGATCTTAAAAATATGTTATTCGATCGAGTTCGAGCCGAACTCGAGTTTAGACAAAAAGAACCGAGTTCGAGTTCGAGCGGTGACAAACTCGGGCTCGACTCGGCTCGTTTACACCCTTACTTGAAAGCACATAAAAAAGGCACTCAATGCAGTCGTTGTTTCAAAGCACGTCTTCAAAAACTCCACGAAAAAAAAACTTTATCAGCTCGTCGATGCTTCGGAAATTTTACTTCTTCTTCTTCATCTTTTTTTTTTTTAAAAGAAAAAAGGTGTTGCGCCATGATTTTTTGTTTAAATTTTTCTTTTTTTTTTAATTTCGATAAAGTCAGTAACAAAGGTGTTGTACCATTTTTACGGTTGTTATTTGATAATATTATAAAGTAATAAATTACTCTTATTTGAAATTTCATTTTTATACATTTGTTTACATAAATTGTAAATGACTACATTAAAAGATATTATATTCTATGTGTGTTTGTTTTCATTAAAAAGATGACGAGAAAGTTTTAAATCTCTTCAAATTTTAATATTTTTAATAATTTTTAATATTTGATGATTAATCAATTAATTTATGATAATTTAATAATTTTTAATAATTTTTAATTTATGATGATTAATCAATTCATTTCTACAAAATCAATATTTTTAATAATTTTTAATTTATGATTATTAATCAATTAATGTCTTTAAATTTTTTTTATTTGAAAATCTTCTTCACATAACAATGATGCTCAAAGTGCTTTATGGTTAAAAAAGATATTATGGCTTAAGATTTAGGCGCAAGGAAGATTCAAAGAATGCAATACTGAACCTGACTGCATTTAAATCAATAATCAGCATATAATAATGTTGTTATATCGCCGTTCCGTTAATAAATGACAACCATTTCTTATTGTACTTCGTGTAATTCATTAAATCATACCTTATCCATTTTCATAATTCTAGTAAAAAACTCAATGCGATCCCAAATTTTGGCAAAAAAAAAAAAAAAATCTAGGTATTGAGATTTTTATTGTAAAAATTTATTGGCATTGAATTTGCTGTCTAATTATAAAAGTCGGAAAAACAAAAATCCAATGAATTTTTTTACAGTTACAATAAAAATTTCATAAATAAAAGTTACTCTGGAAATGATTATATTTACAAAACTTACCTAAATTGTTGTAAACAAATTTTGTAACAATAAAAAATTTGTGAATAAAAAAAAAACATAATAGTTGATAAACGAAAAAATATAAATAATAAATTGGATAAGGGAAAAAAGCAAAATAATAATAATAATTTTTTTAAAAAAATTTAACGTCGACTTTGTCGTCGAGGTAAGACAACCAACAATAAGGTTGACAACATCTATATTTGACGCTTCAATATTGAAGTCGTTGTTTCAAAGCACGCCTTCAAAAGAAACGACGACAAAAATATATATATATATATATATATATATATATATATATATATATATATATAGCATCTCGTCGACTAAAATGGCAAGATATCTTAATCAACGGAAAAGTCGGCGGTTTCAGAAATTTTACTTCTTTTTTCTAGTTAAAAAAAAGGTATTGTTGTGTTAAAGCGGAAAAGGAAAAATAAGATGTTGGCCATTCATGCATAATTCTCGCATTATTCGCACGACAATCTTTTCCTGCCTACGGCAAAATCGCGGCAAATCATCCTAACACATTATCTCAGAGAAAACATTGTCTGAATGGGTAAAATATCTTCCGTAATACTAAAAACCATATTCTCCCGTTCTAAAATTATTACCCAGTTTCGATTTTCATTTTTAGTTTAAAATGTACTAAAAGTAAAATTTCAAACTGAACAATAATTTTGGGACAGAGAGAATATATAATTCTGACTAATGTCGAGTTGATCCTAAGGCAAAGGATCTTAACAACACTAATTGAGTTCACGAGAAACACATATCCAAATTTTTACACTTTTGTGAGCCAAATGTAACTGCATTGTATTTGTTACCTCCATTTTCAATGTTGAACGAGAAGGGTCATCTTAGGATATAAAATTCATGCGTGACCATGGATATGAGATCAAGATGAAGAGTTTCTTTCAAGCTGTAACCACTACAACCGAGCAAATGATCCAGAGGGAATAAGAACTAAGAAGAATGATGAAATTGATGATCCCCTCGGTCAATTAATCTGCTATATCATTAAAAATATTTGAACCTCAAAACCATTGAGAGAATCAGAAGCAGAATAATGATCCCAGTGGATGAACCACAGACCCTGTGAATCCAGTTTGGATCAAACCTGGAAACGCTTCGTTCATCATCCACCAGGTAACGCGACACGGATATGGACACGATGAGCATCAATAGCAACAGAGGAAGCAGAAGATAGGAGAAAGCTGAGATGATGCTGCTCAGGATGCCGGCCGGTTCATCCTCGAGCTCAACCACCTCGTTAAACATTTTCATCCTGTCAACATATACTGGTGACACTACTGCAACAAGTGCCAAACATATTGCTACAACCCTTTGATCATAAGAAGATGATCTGCCGGCACTCATTAACTTAACTCCTACTTGATCCATTCGAACGGATTTTTACTTTTTTTCGGTTTTTTGCTCAGAAGAAGTTGCCAACATCGTTCTTGAAATTCTTTGATATATGAAGTTTCTTTTCTTATTGCAGTCGTTGATTCTTTTCTTAATATGCTGTGAGGAGATAAGGTAATAAAAACAACTCTGTCAAGATCTTTCTGGGATTGTAAATGAGCAATCAGAAAGAGAATAATCTGTCCACTAGAGAAGGTAGTACTACTACTAATAGCCAGGAATCTGATCCTGGAGAATACATGAATTGACCAAATTGATCATAGCAGAATCTGATTCTTCCACTTTAAATAAAGCACTGTAAGTTGACATTTGTAGGCAAGAGGCTAACTTATATTACTTTGTCTATCCCAACATGATTACAACAAATGTGACAATCATTTTGGAATACGAAAAGTAAAAGATCATCTGCAACTTTTGCTCAGAACATTGTATGCTTGACACTTCTCTTCTTTCTTAAACTAAAACTCTAACAAATACTAGATGAAAAATGATGAGAATGACAACCTTACACATGTTAATTAATTAGAACGAGTGTTTTAAAAAAGGGGGATATAGATGATCTTTCGCCGCTAATTAAGACTGCACAAGTATTACAGGACACCCGATGCTTAAGGACTGAATTTACAAATGGACTTCGAATTCAGAAGGGCAGCCAGATACAAGGTTTGAGATGAAACATCTGAACAGAAATATTACTTCCTAGTATAACAGGAAACTCTGCTTAATAACAAAAAGGCGGGGCTGATCATGAAGCATTTGGCTTGCCACCAGCAAGTCTTCTCATCCATTTCCTCTGAGACGTGGTTCTATGTAATTCCATTGGATCAGACGGGAGATTTTGAGAAACTCCTGAAGCTGGGGGAAGTTCCGCTGGAAGTGCAGCAGCTGCACTAGTAAAAGCATTAAGGACAAGGAATGCTAGTATAGGCGATAGGTCCAGAGTTCCTCCAAGTGGTGGAATGATGCCGCAGAATATGTCAAGTATGGATCACATAAGGTGCTGAAAAAAGAAGTAAATACTTGTTAAGACAACTATTTCTCCTAAAAAATGTCAGGTGCAAAAATTATGGCTGCCCCCTTTCTCCTTCCACAACATAAGAAAACTCTGCAGTCAAACATTTGTTTCTTCGTCTTCTCGTGTTTTGTTTGTTCTTTTGTTATTTTCTGTTATAATTATTTTGGCTGTGTGTTTGTGTACCAGGGAAAGGTGATTCAAGGCTAATTAATTCTAAACGTAGAATGGCTAAGCACTTCCAAAGGACTCCGAAAAGGAACTTTCAGTACTAAGCAAGAACTGTCTCTGAACCATCTTTTTCTATCAACTTATATACTGAGATTACCAAATGAAACAACTACAATAGCAGGAAAACTGTACTTCCAGAGTAAACATGGGGCTGATCAAGCAATTCACTCTTCTTGACTTGAAAAAAGGAAAAAAAAATTACAAAAAAAAAGTCTAAACTATGTAAGATGGTGAGGTAAATGCACCTTACCAAGGAAAAAGTTGAAAGTAAACAAACCTAAGGGGGCTAACAATAGCTGGCGGGGCATTTGGGAACCATGTCAAAACAAGCCTGACAACTAATACTGTGTTGTAGATGTTCAAGAAGTTGAGGATCACATTCGTAGCCACAATACTAGCAACCGAATCACCCGGTAAGATAGCCGCAAAATTGTGATTGAGAAGGGTATTCATTGTTCCATATTTCTGGCAAGGAATCTGTAAAGATGAAGTTAAATTAGTATAGAAAAGATCATTAACAAGGAGAAAGCGTCCCTCTTTCAAATAAGATGGGACCTTCCTTAAAAATGGCTACTTTTTGTTGGCTAGCATTGCACTTCGCAATTTACAAACAATTCTTCACATTTGCGTTACAACCTTTGACAATCTCAACATGGTGAAAATGAACAACCTTTGACTATTATTGCCTATTGACAGCCAATATATTTGAATTCCAAAATCCTAATAAGTTTGGTTGCCTGGATGTTTGACGCGGAACTATTTATCCATGTAATAAAAACCTAGGCAAAATAACCAAACAATGATAACCTAGGTGATAAAAAACCATAACAAAGATGATAATCATAACAAACAATAACCAGGAACAAGGCCGAACCCCAGAATAGGCGTAAAGGGAAGAAACATCTATATTTAAGAGTAATGTCAATGAAGAAGGACAAAGTAACTGACAAAAATAGTTTTAACCAAAAGAAAATTTTATCCAGTCATTGAGAATCTGGAAAGGGAAAAAACGAAACAAACAACAATAAAAAATGGGCTAAACTCTCTGCCTTGCACATTCAACACAAGTCCAACTTTGGATCCAGCGGAAGATCCCTTTCTCTCAGTTATAAATTTTAACAGAGTTGTTCCGATTCTGCGAAAAAAAGCAGCGCACATAAGTATTGAGAATCACCACAAAATATTCAAACAACATTTACGAGTTCTACTGGTTTTACACTACCAAGACTTTGAAAATGCATACGACTTATTACTTCACCTGATATGAGGCAGTTCTGGGAGTTTTATCGGGGTGCTCCAACCCAACGCTGTACAAACCCCAACAATCATACACATTTCCAGTCACAGGAATTATTTCAATCACCTCCTCAGCGTCTTCAGGCTCCAAACAACCCTGAAAAGCGAATTTCGACTTTGCAAATTCTTCATCCGGAACCTGCAACCTCTTCTGAAGGCGAAGCTTGACATTGCCTATAGTTTCGCCCTCGTGAACAGCAAGAATAAAAGGGTCCCCGAACGTCCTAACAAAGAATACTTCTCCCTTTGCGAAATGGTACACCTGAATTAACCTGTCGTGAGGACCAAGGTTCTTTTCTTCTTCCAGAACCTCCTCAGCCCGGAGATAGCAGTAGCTAAAAATGGAATCGATTTCTGTCTCGAGGGGGAAGATCCTACGTATCTTATTGTCATAAAGTTCAAGCAGTCTGAGTTCTGCATTCGGAGATAACTCAACCTTTGCTTTTATTTCTTCCAGTAGATCTTTCACGGTACTCTGTCTTAGCAACCTGAGTTTGAGAATTACCACTTCCTTATCTTTTGCCGCCGGGTGAAATGCAACTTCCATTGTTTTCAGACTCTCCAGTTCCGGCAGAGGAATCTCCAGCACCTCATAGTAAAGGATGTCTGAGATCCGATTGAAGTGGACGAGCATATCTAACAAGCTGGTAGCTCGATATTTGATAGGCTGCTGCTTTGGTCTCTGAAAATTGACACAATGGGGTGTAAGCCGAATCCTGGATGGATCATCCAGATCAAGCTTCTCTGCTACCCTCTCTACCACATCATCATAAGTGTCGTTCTTCGCCAACTCCAGACAGAAATCATCATCCTTCGGTGTTTCCAGGCTTCGAAAGTGTACAACCAGTCGGTTCTTGATATAATCAAAATATGAAGGAATGTCGGGACATCGAAGTTGTTCTTGATGTTCTGTTGAAAGGCGCTTTTGAATGTAGATGATATCCCCGTCTTGAATCTGATGATCCCCGGACCAAGAACTTCTATCGAGCGGTTTACAAATCACATCTGGTTCAAACTTCACTTCCTCGAAAATTTCAATATCTTCCTCCGCATAAAATCCAGCCAGCTCTTTTAGTTTTTCAAGGATTTCACTTGGCTTTCCTGAACTCTTCACAAAGAGCCTGCCCACATATAGAAGCTCTTCTTTTTCAGGATCGTAAACCTTAAAGAAAAGAAGAATGTCTTCTTTGGTTTTTTTGGGTAGAGGCACAGGACGTAAATCCATATCGTACTCTACCTCCAAAAACAAGCTGAATTCCACGTTCCGAATCCTGGTTGAAACTTCCCTGATCAGCTGACCAACAGTTTTTGTTTCCTCTTGAGATGTTAATGGCCGGTCCAGACGGAAAGTGAAATTCTTCCTCATTGCCCACAACCAAAAACGCTGGTATTCAACAGGTACACCAGTTTCTTCGGCAATCTCCTCCTTGAAAAGATTAAAAGGCATTTGCTTCTGCAATCGAAAGTTTCTACTTTTAGAATGATCAACAAGGTCAAAACATATGTCCTTTCCAAGCTGTTCTCTCAGATGCTCATCACGGGAGACCTTGACATTGGTAAAAAGATGTGCCTCAGCTTTGATTCTCCTCTTCCGCGCCTTCTCTTCTTCCTCCTCCTTCAACCTTGTCCTGAGGTCTTCAGCAATGTCATTCTCATCAACATCACAAATAATTTTATCCTTGTCTCTTTCCCGAATATACACAAGCATATATGCACTCGAATATTTTGTGAAGCCCGCCGGAATCGCCTCGCTCCCATACTGCTCTTCTAGTGCCCGGTTCACATCCTCTCTGGTAACTCTTTCATCATCAAATTTATACCACTGATCACCTATAGTTGGCCTGATGAAAGCATAATAGTGTCCACCACGTCCCCCGCCACTGTGCACCAGAACACTATGAAGTGTGTAGAGATTTCGGACACTCTTATCCGCATCAGGAGACAGGTACTTGCCATTCTCCCTGTCAAGGTCCAGTTGGAGAGGGAACTCATACCTATCGTTAATCTTAACCATGGTCTCACACGTAAAATCATACTCAAACCGCTTGAGATGAAGCTGAAGGACAGGAGGGAAATCAGTAAAAAGAACACCTTTCTTAGCATCTTGCAAACCATGTCCCTCAGCATGATACTGGTTTGCTTCTTCAAGATGTTCAACTTCCACATACTTATCAAACGAGGCATAAACGTCCTTGCACCCTTTCACATCAAGTTGAAGATCATAGAACGACTCCTTTCTGGTAGACTTGAACTCTACGTTGATGCATTCAATGTAATTCATTAGGTGCCCACAAAACAACTTCTGTATTGTCCCTTCAACAACTGTTCCCTTCATCTTTTCTTCAAGCTTTTCACACAAAACCCTATTCAGTTCCTGAACATCCTGCTGCATAAAAGAATCATACGTGTTCCACCCAAAAGATTTGGTCAACTCTCTTGTAGCAACACTCTTATCAGAATACTGGAGCTTATAAAACAAACGCAGAAGCGCAAGAGCAATGCTTCCTGACTCTGTGGCTGGCATATGATAAACAGCCTTTCTAAAGAAAGGAATATGGAATAGGGTTTGCAAAAGGGAGTTCATGTAACAAGTTGCACCCTGATTCTTTAGCCCAACAAAACCAGTCTCTTTCTTTGAATCATAACCCCAGAAATCTTCAGACTTACGAACAGAAACCACAGCCTCAATAAGTAGAGTATCATTAACAAGGAAACCCTTTTCGGGGTCATGAAGTTCACTAAGAGGAATGATATGTGGGAAACCCCAGTCGGTATTATGTTGATTGAACATATTCTGAACTTCCTCTTTCCTTGAGTACTTGCAATCAACTTGATTAACAACGGTTAAGCTAAACTTGGTATGACAACTCCATCCAAGTGGCAAACAGTCAGGATCAGCAACAGCCAAAAACATAGAAAAGAAAGGAAACTCCGCATGGGGCCTGTTCCCTTTGGGAAAAATCATCACCTTCCATTTGTTACCTCCGGCGACGAATTCATCTGAAAAAATCCTCTGCTCATCCAACCCGGAAAAATTCTCAATCGTCCAAGTCAACCGTGATGCTTGAGGCGGCGGCACAGCAACTGCCTGATTCTCTCCTGCGGCATTGGCTACTACTTCCATTGGCTGAGGACCCTCCAGCAAAAGTGGATGTGGGAAGTCGCCGGAATCGGATTCCAGCGCCGTCACCGGCATCACCTCGTCTTCTTCGACGGGTGCAGGGATATCAACGAAATCAGGTTGGGGAACCAGCATCATCTCCACGTCGTCTTCTTGATCAAAGGGTTGAGGATTCATCACCGTCATGATGACCGGAATTTAATCCGACAAGGAAAACTACAATGATGGAGAAAATCTAGGGAAAGGGCAGAACTCGAAGGAATAGGGTTTTCGGCGGTAGAAATATCTTTCTCTTTTCTTTTCTTTTTTTTTTTTCGGTTGACAAAAGAAATACTGGGCTCCTTTCTTTTCTTAAAGCTCAATTTAAAATCAGTTAATTTGGCCCAGTTAAAGTGCAGTGTTAGTGAAGGTCAACTAACTTAACTTTTGAGCCCAAACCGCAGAGAAGAAAAAGGGGATTTTTCAGGCAGATCAGTTTATATATTTATTACATTACGGAATTTTCCAGTTTTAAATTTTTTAAATTTGTATATTCATCTCTGATAAATTAAAAATATACCGTTTTGCTCCTGCGGTTCAGAATTCCTCATTCCGCCACCGAATATATTACTACAATCGCACACTTCTTAAGAAATTAGTGACGAACTCGTATATCCTATCAAAAGATTTTGATTGTGTCGTCATTCTATGCGGTAGTCAAAATAGTCACGAGATTTTAACTAGAATTGTTTTATGATTGACTTACTATCAATATTGTATGCTTTTATCAGATTGTTGCAAATTTTAGAAGTTTTGGTTGATTTCTGCTGTACTAATGGAAATACTCTACAGCATGTCTTTATGTAAATATCAACTGATGTATTATAAAATTTATGCTAGACTACTAATATAAAACTAAGTATAAGGACAAGAGAGACATAAGAGAGTAGAGAGAGATAAGAGAATTGTATTCAGATGTCTTTTGAAGCATGAATGAGTTTCTTATTTATACAAAAAAAAAAAAAAGTGATCAAACCGTGGGAAATGAATCACCTATCATTAATGCTAAATATTACAGAATCATATCTCCTTGATTGTGAATAGAATAATACATGTTAATTATGGACATTCAATCAAATCAAATATTTCATAACACTCCCCCTTTGAATGTCCATCTCTGCGGAATAATGCCTCGTTAAAACCTTACTAGGAAAAACCTTTTGGGATAAAACCCTAGTGAAGAAAAAAGTGTACACTTCCGAATGTGACGCTGCCTCGTTAAAAACCTTGTCGGGAAAATCCATTAAGACAAAACCTTGATCAAGGAAAAAAGAGTATAGCGTGGGTTACTCCCCCTGTTAAGTACGCCACTTTTAATCTTCTCGTTGCATGCCAAGCTATTGATCAGGTTCATGATTGTTTAAGTCAATAATAGACAGATTACTTCGACTTCTCAGGTAGACGGTGGTCTTCATATACCTATATAATTTTGAGCATTTTATAAGAATGGAGATGCATAACCATTATACCTTGAATGTATGAATATACACCATCCAAGTATTGACTAATTGATTAGAGAAACCGAAACTTTATATGATACTTCAGGACTAAATCGATCTACATCATTACAATAGAAAGTCAAGAAGAAAGATCTATATGCACATCAAGATTTTAATCAAGTGCGCTCAACGGGTGTTGAATATACAAAAGTCAAACTATTTAGACCGAGATTCTACTTAAAATCTTTCATTATCGTTACTTCAGGCAAGTACCAACCTTTTGAACTTCCTTAAAAGTGTTCAAAACTCTGGTATAACCCTTCAGGAGTTTTACTTATATTCAGGCTATTCAAACTCCGTGATAAGTTTCGATAATATTCAGCCTTTTGAAACTCTACAAGAGTTCGATGCTTACAAAATTGTAAATGCACATATGACTTATGAATACTCACTCTAATATTAGTTATCATCCTATCATTCAAATATGATCATAAAAACAGATAAAAAATCACGTTACAAACAAACATAATATATCTAGATAAAAACAAACATAGCATATTATATTCAAAAACATATGAACCTAAATATCTAGACACATGAAGACGTTATAACTTGTGCAAGTTTTTTGAACTAATTTCATGAGAATTGGGAATCATGTCCCTTTTTTAATCCTTCGGAGATTTCATATAAACGTCATTATTAAATATCAAGTATCACGTATTAAGTGATCACTATAATCAAGAGACGCATTTCTTATCTTCATTTGCTACCAGATTAGCAAATAATAGAAAATTTTCCTTTCCGCAAGATAAACCGGACTTTGGGAAAAACTTGTACAACAAGGAGACTGCTCGATAATCTTTTGCACAATCACCCGCCAAAATCTAGCCCGTATATCACTTGCCAAACTTCTAGTTCGCAAGTAATTTCAATTCTAAGTACACATCATCAAGTGTGTATTGCGTCTTTTCATCTATTGTGACCAATAAGTTTAATATCTGCATCAAATGATCCTTATTTTCATTTATTTTACTGCTGCATCATAAGCAATTTTTATGTCGACATTTTATTGTTGATTGATTCTATGTTCTTTGGTAATGAGATCTCATAATCATTAAGTTTCTCAAGTATTCATATACTTCTTCTGGAAGTTAATTCACCGTAATGGGAAATTATTCCAGTTCAAAATTCTTATGAATTATAATCACTCGTATTTGTCATCTCTATAGATTTAAACCTTGTCATTTACGAGGATTTTTATCATTTAGAATCGATGGTTCTACCACTCATTAAATGGACATTCAACTAACAAATAGTGGTAGGTAGTCCTTCAGGGACACATTATCAAATTCCAAATTTTAACAGCCTTTTATATAAGATGTATTTACACATTCGGTCAGGTAAACATCTGGTCTTAAACATTATCTCTTGAACTTCATGTTCACATCATCGAGGATCATAATGAGATAATTACATTGTCCATCTGAATTTATAAATAAGCTGTTTTAACTTCTCCCCCTGATGTTAGGAAAACTAACTCAGTAAAATGAGGATTAACCAATCGAGTAGTTAATAAATCTCCCTTTCGGAGTAACTAACTCGTCAAACTAATACGATCAGTTCATCGAGAAGTTAATCCAACATCAATAATCTCAAACATTAGAGATTCAATATTCAACATATATTTCTGACCTCTTCTGGAGGTTCCATCATTGTTGCATTGTGGTGGAATAATTATAATATAGATTGCACATGTAATCTTTGAAGATAGATATGTATGGTTTCTGACCGAAAATCACTGTTGGGAGAATATCTACAATGACTGTTTGGTCTTATGCATATAATTGGTGGCTTTTGTGTTTCAACATATCCTCAATTATATATGAAGCATTTACTTCTCTTGCGTAATGATTTTAATTATCTGAACATGTTTAGTGAATGATTCTACTGGACCATTTGTTAACTCTATAAGAAATTTACAAACTTCAGGTTTACAAGTTAATAATAAGCATACATGTAGCTATCTCGTAACCACACCAGTCAATACCCTCACTATCATATAATTTTAAAACATCGGAGAATAAATCCACTGACGTTATCAGGTATGCTTTGTACTATGTCAGATATTTAGTCTGAATTTTTATGTAATAGTGTGGCAATCACTTCACACAAACACAAAAGTATATACGAATTCATTAGATAGAAGAATCGTCTGTCTCTTCATAGTAGTCATAAATTTTTTGACCTTTTATAGATCATAATAAAACCGGGATGGCAACCCAGTTTTCTCAAAAACCGAAATCAATATAGTAAACTTTTGGTTTACTTTATCATCTATAATTCACACTCTAATATGAGTGATTTAACTCATAACAATAAATTTTGCATGAGATTTTCATCTAGAAAATAGATATCCGATATCACTTTCTGACATTCAAAAAACTTTTCTCGAATACCTTTGACATTGGTGCAAAATTTTATTTGCTCAAGGTATATTTTATTTACTCTTCTAGAGCCAATTTAGAACTCCACTTTTGGAGAAATAATGAACTATTCAACTATGCCGTGTCAAGTCTTCTCTATAGGAGCATTTACTCTAATGGAACTGTTATACTCTACAGGAGCATTAATTTATGCAATTATATTATCATTCCACCTCTATCATTGATCTACAGGAGCACACATATAATCGTATTGAGGTATTCAGTATGCTCTACGAGACATTTCATCCAACCCGCGCGATGGAAGAATTTAATTACACATGCTCTTCAGAAGCATATTATCAATTTTATTCCAACATTACAGTAATAGCAAAATCACCTTCAGGTGAAGTGAAATTCCCAAATAAATGGGTTTTGTCATTTTTTTCTTTCAACAAAACCATAAGAGTGTATTTAACACAAATTATAATAAACTGCTACTTCAGGAGCAATTCCAACTCCACCGACGTTCAAACTTCATGCAATTGATAAAAATGCTTTAATGATATCAATATAAAACATGCTCTAATTAAATCTATTTTATTTTATTTTATTTACCTATGATTTTTTCATCAAAATAAATCTTAATCTGAAAAGTATGCAAAACCGAAAAATTCAAATTTAATCATCCGGGTCTTAAAATGCTTCACGTTATGAAACATAGGCAAACATAAGCAAATAAAAAAAACAAAATTCTTTAAACAAATTTTTTTCTTCCCGTACACACATAGGCACACATGGGCATAATTTGGATACAAAATGAAAATCACACGCACAAGCGCACTAGTACTTTTTAGTTTAATATTTTAACAGAGCAAAATAATAAATAAAAAAATCAAGGATATTTTAGTTAATATTAAACAAATATGAGGTGTTAACAGTGGAAAACTCTTGCCAATTCCAGAAGAGGAACCAAATTAGTTCATGAAGCATCCAAGCACAAAATTGGTTCAATATACCTTAAATGAAAGTAATGATCAGAACAATATATGGAATTCAACAACCTCACGTCATTCATAACTAAATTCAGTATATCCAATTACTAATTCCCTCATAAAATTTTCATCAATAAATAATACTTCCCACATCCCTCTACCAATCCATTAATTAGTTCATCATTGAAACACATAAGGTAGGATAACAATATAAAAGGGTAGAGAGGAATTCACTTGATAAGAAGATGGGCACGTCTCTCCTTCGAGCTCGAAGTCGTCAGAAGGAAGCGAAGCTCCGGAAACTTTTCAGTCATAAAAACTAATTATTTACTGAAGACTTCAGACTTTCAGTATTAGTACACATCAACTTCAGGTAGTGATATTATAAAACTCTTTGGATAAAACTTCCTGCTAATAACGTATTATAAAATTTATGCTAGACTATTAATATAAAACTAAGCATAAGAACAAGAACAAGAGAGACATAAGAGTGTAGAGAGAGATAAGAGACTTGTATTCAGATGTCTTTATATAAGAAGTAGGTGATCAAACTGCGGGAAATAAATCATCCATCATTAATGCTAAATATTACAGAATCATATCTCCTTGATTGTGAATAGAATAATACATGTTAATTATGGACATTCAATCAAATCAAATCAAATATTTCATAACATGATTAACTTTTTTTTTCCAATTTTCGTAAGAAGTATAGTTTTCGTTGAAACCTCATTTGTTATGTATCAATTTCTCCAAACCAGCTTGAACAGATGAAGTGGTAAAGTAATATGATCCTGATGTATAAAATTAAGTCAATTTAATTGATTGCATTTTCTTGAGGCTTCAACTTTAGACAGATTATATTATTTTAGATAACATTTTTTTTTCCTTTTTTATATTTGCAGGGTGTCCACCGTCTGTAACAGCGACTAATCTCTCATGCTAAATTGTAGGTACCTCGATGGGTGGGACAACTGATCAAAGTATTTAAAATTGTTCTATGGTCATCGCGAGGTTAGAACCCTTGACCTATAGTTAAGGGTGATATTATTTAAGATAATATAAATGTCATTATAAAATGTGATTATACTTCTCGCATTATTTTTGGGACAATCTTTTCTGCCTGGGTGAAGTCCACTCCGCAGATCATCGAACGCATTATCTCAAAACATTATCTAACTAGGTTAAAGATCTTCTATACCACTGGAAAAGAACATATTGAAGTTTTGCTTATTTCGAGTTGCCGAGTTGGTCGTCAGTCAAAGGATCTCGACCAGACTAATTGAGGTTAGCAGATTGCCATAAAAAATATATAAATAAATAAAAATCCAAATTTTACATCTTTGGGTACCAAATGTAGCTACATTATCTTTCTTCTGCACTGTTGAGATTACCTCCATTTTTTCAGTTTTGAACGAGTAAGTGTTGAGTATGTTACATTGGTGGTGGGAGAGTCTTGATATCAATATATAAGTTTATGGTTACTCCATTTATTGCCAATTGGTTTTGAGGTAGAACCCCATGGGTTTCTATATAGTATCGAGCCAACCCATAAAGAATCGGACTCAAAGTCTGATGTGATAGAACTAGTAGGGCTGAGACGTGAGGCGGTGACAGGACTGAAGAAAAAATAGATAAGCCTAACCCCAAGAAGAAGCGTTGGGCTTACGAGAGAGTATTGAGTATCCCATATCGGTAAAGGGAGAGATTTGATATCAATATATAAGTCTATGGGTTATTACCTCGTTGCCAATTAGTTTTGTGATGGAACCTATGAATTTTTATAGTAGGATCATCTTAGGATATAAAATTCATGCGTAACAATCGATATATGAGATCAAGATATAGAGATTCTTTCAAATGTAACCACTAGAACAGAACATATCTATGGTCCTGAAGGAATTAGAATGATGAATTGATGATCCCCGCGGATACACACTGCCAAATCTGCTATGATTAAGAATACTTGAACCTCAAAACCATTGAGAGAATTAGAAGCAGAACAATGATCCCAGTGGATGAACTACAGACCCTGTGAATCCAGTTTGGATCAAACCTGGAAACGCTTCGTTCATCATCCACCAGGTAACGCGACATGGATATGGACACAATGAGCATCAGTAGCGACAGAGGCAGCAGAAGATAGGAGAAAGCTGAGATGATGCTGCACAGGATGCCGGCCGGTTCATACTCGAGCTCAACCACCTCGTTTGCCATTTTCATCCTGTCAACATATACAGGAGACACTACCGCAACAAGTGCCAAACATATTGCTACAACCCTTCGATCGTAGGAAGATGATCTGCCGGCACTCATTAACTTAACTCCTCCTTGATCCATTCGACTCCAACGTCGTTCTTGAACTCCTTTGATCTATGAAGTTTCTTTTCTTATTGCAGTCGTCGATTCTTTTCTTAATATGCTGTGAGGAGATAAGGTAATAAAAAGAACTCTGTCAAGATCTTCCTGGAATTGTAAATGAGCAATCAGAAAGAGAATACTCTGTCCACTAGAGAAGGTAGCATTACTAATAGCTAAGAATCTGATCCTGGATAATACATCAATTGACGACCAAATTGATCATAGAAGAATCTGATTCTTGCACTTTAAATAAAGCACTCTAAGTTGACATTTGTAGGCAAGAGGCTAACTTATATTACTGTCTATCCCAACATGATTACAACAAATGTAACAATCATTTTGGAATAAGAGAAGTAAAAGATCATCTTGCAACTTTTTGCTCAGAACTTCGTATATTTGACACTTTTCTTCTTTCTTAGAGTAAAACTCTAAATACTAGATGAACAATGATAAGAATGACAATCTTACCCATGTTAATTAATTAGAAAGAGTGTTACCAAAAAGGGGGATATAAATGATCTTTCGCCGCTAATTAAGACTGCACAAATATTACATGACACCCGACAGCATTTACAAATGGACTTCGAATTCAGGCGGGCAGCCAGGTACAAGGTTTGAGATAAACATCCAAACAGAAATATTACTTCCTAGTATAACAGGAAAGCTCTGCTTAATAACAAAAAGGCGGGGCTGATCATGAAGCTTTTGGCTTCCCACCAGCAAGTCTTCTCATCCATTTCCTCTGAGACATGGTTGTATGTAATTCCATTGGATCAGACGGGAGATTTTGAGAAACTCCTGAAGCTGGGGGAAGTTCAGCTGGAAGCGCAGCAGCTGCACTAGTAAAAGCATTAAGGACAAGGAATGCTAGTATAGGCGATAGGTCCAGAGTTCCTCCAAGTGGTGGAATGATGCCGCGGAATATGTTCAAGTATGGATCACATATGGTGCTGAAAAAAGAAGTAAATACTTGTCAAGAGATCTATTTCTCCTAAATTATGTCCGGTGCCAAAATTATGGCCGTCCCCTTTCTCCTTCCACAACATAAGAAAAGTCTGCAGCCAAACATTTGTTTCTTCGTCTCCTCTTGTTTTGTTTGTTCTGTTGTTATTTTCTGTTGTAATTATTGTGGCTGTGTGTTTGTGTAATGTGTACCAGCAAAGCAATTAATTCAAGGCTAATTAATTCTAAATGGAGAATGGTGTTGCAGAGCACTTCCTAAGGACTCTGATAAAGGAAGTTCAGTACTAAGCAGGTACTGTCTTTCTACCATCTTTTTCTATCAACTTAGATACTGAAATTACCAAATGGAACAACTATAATAGCAGGAAAACCTGTACATCTACAGTGAACATGGGTCTGGTCAAACAATTCACCCTTTTTCAAAAAAAAAAAAAAAAAAAAAAAGAAGAAGAAAAAGCATCCAAATGTTTTGTGGTCATTCATGTCTAAACTACGTAACACGGTGAGGTAAATGCACCTTACTAAGGATAAAGTCAAAAGTAAGGCAAACCTGAGGGGGCTAACAATAGCTGGAGGGGCATTCGGGAACCATGTCAAAACAAGCCTGACAACTAATACTGTGTTGTAGATGTTCAAGAAATTGAGGATTCCATTCGTAGCCACAATACCAGCAACCGAATCACCCGGTAATATAGCCGCAAAATTGTGATGGAGCAGGGTATTCGTTGTTCCATATTTTTGGAAAGGAATCTGTAAAGATGAAGTTAAATTAGTATAGAAAAGATCATTAACAAGGGGAAAGCGTCCCTCTTTCAAACAGAATGGGGCCTTCATAAAAATGGCTATTTTTGGTGGCTAGCATTGCACTTCAAAACTTACAAACACTTCTTCACATTTCCATTACAACCTTTGACATTCTCAACATGGTGAAAATGCTTTAATATGTATATATATATATATATTCATAAAGGGCATGCAGGCACTAGGATTCAAAAGGTCCTAAGAGACAACGATCTAATGTCCAAACTTGCAAGCATGAAACAACTTTTTTAAGCTATAAGTAGCAAAATTGAAGGCAAAGTACCAATAAGGCCATACACTAGGCCGATGAAGACAAGTCTTTCAATCTTTAAATCAAGTATGTCAATAAAAAACCACAACAAAAAACAAGTGATATTCGCAAAGAAGGTTTCCAGTTAGCCTACTACCAAAAGATCCAAAACAAGAAAAAAAAAAAAAAAAAAACAAACGACCCTTTCTGCAGCATTCACCTGACTTGTGCATAATTAATTTTTCAGCATACATCCCATTACTGTAACTCATTCTTAAGAAACTTAAATTGGTATCTTTACACAATTCGGGTTGCCATTAAGCTACGCCATTTCACATTGAGCAAAGAAATTACTCCTACTATTCAACCAAAACATTTTATCAACAATCCCAAAAAAAAACCCTGTTAATTTTTTTCTTCCATATTAAAGCTCAACCCGGTAAAATGTCATTCTTAGAGAACAAATTAATTGATAGGAAGCAAAATGTAAGGGAAAAACAAAGAGAGATAATACTAATTGTATACCTTGGAGCTGAAACTTTGGAGTTGATGAGAAGAGAAAGAGAGGAGTCTGCTCAAAAAGGGATTTTTGGAAGCCAAAATGTGGAGCATTGTAAACAACTTATCAGCACAAGTGGAAATGGAGGTCTGAAGCTGATTAGCCCAATGGGTTGCTGCTGCTGAAGTATTTGTTGCGAGTAAATGGAAGTTTGGCTTCATCAAATTCGATGAAGAAGCAGCTTGTTTGTTGAAGAAAAATGGTGGCTGGTGATGGTGAGGGAACTGGGGTGGTGAAATTGGGAGAAGCATTGTTAAAATATTTGGTGAAGAAGAATTCCTGGTTGATGATGATCTTTGATGCTGTTGTTCATCACTTGACATTGTTGGTGTTCTTTAGATGAAGATTTCGTCTTTGTTTGAAGAAGAATTGAAAGGATTTTTTCAGGATTTGTTTCTTCAGAGGATAAGGCAGCAAAATATCATGCGAGAAGTTAGATTTCTTATGGGCCTGAGAAGTTGGGCTTACTATGCCACAGGGGGGTGGAAATGAAAGGGAGGAGATTTTGGACATAAAGTTGGGCCCAAAATCAGGGGAAGTGAAAGATTAGATTAACAAACAAACGAAACCAAAAGTGCGGATTTGGAATTAATACTCCTCCCTCCATCAGAGAATAAATAAGTTGATGGAAATGGCCAACCGGAAAATCACAATATGAGAAACATTTTAGCCCAATGATATTTTGGATCAAAATTGCCGAGACATTGTGAAAAGCTCAATTCACTACGTGAAGAAAAGAGAAGAGAAAATATGGCCTTAAAGGAGGAAGTTGCAACCACAACTATCCTCTGGATCTGGATTATTGGGTACACCCGCTGCACCACATCATGCTAGTGGGCTGGTATTACCGGTGTACTCAATAATTCCTGTCTAAATTACTGTCTTAATGAAATTGCATCCGCATAACATATCATATTCTGTCTTAAAATTATTGTCTAATTTAAATTTTTACTTTTAATATAATTTGAACATAAAATGCAAATTTAAACTGAACGATAATTTCAGTATGGAGGAAATGTATATAGGACGTATGTCGACGTATAAAGAAAACGTACGAGATATGCTTCCACTCTTGCTCCCTTAGAATCCTCTTGTCTTAATAATGGTTATCTATTATAGAATTTTTAATTTTAGGATAAATTGTACTAAATTTAAAAATTTAACTGGATAATTATTTCAAGACGGGAAGAGTTCTAAAGAAAAAATAAACAGTAAAATACAGATAGAACCAGAACATTTTACACTTGCAAAAAGTGTTGTCCTCGCAGTCGCAGATGTCTTTTTTTTTTCAAAAAAAATCGCCTACTCAGGAGCATAGGCAGTATAAATTTTCCTCGACTTCTCAGGAAAGATGGTTCGGCAGTGTTATGATTATATCAAGGATGAGGATTCCATTTCAGGATTATAAGTTGTTTTTTCAATTAAAGAAGCTGATAGTGTCCTGTGGGTTCTAAAAACTGCAGTTGATCATCAACATCAATCATAGTGTCTAGCTAGTTAAGCCCAAAGCAAACACTGCTGAAACTGAAGCAACCATAATTGGTAACAGTTGAATTTTAAACACACATTGAATTCGCAAAATCTAGAGGATAATTTTGAACACGTACTGAGCGTATATATACTAATAATAATTTGTATATATTGTAATTTTAGCGGTCGATAATTAAGAAAATTAAGAGAGTCAAACACTCATAACACCGACACAGAACATCAGTCTTGACCTTTGATTTTCCAAATGGGAAAAAGAAAATTTACCGTGCACGTTCCTGTACGTGATTTTCTTAATTAATGCAGAAAGCACAACTCGAAGCACACATGTTTTTACTTTTCCAGAATTCAACCCAGAGATGATTTTACAAATCACACCGTCATCATTAATTGATGATTGTTAATCCACAAAGAATAAAACAAAAAAAAAAAACCCAAATTTCTCCAAGTCAAAATACGATCTTTCTTATCTCATGTAAGATAAAGTATTTTAACAAAAACGTTTATAAATGAATCGATATATCGTTGTAATATCAGCAAGATGTGTGATAAGTAAAACAAAACATCTTGTTCATGGCTATTCAATAGCGATTCATCGATTGTAGTTTTCATCGGAAAAAAAAAAAAAAAGAAATTACACATTTTCCGTGAAGATTAGTTAGTTAGGGCAAGAATTTCAAAATCGGAATTATAAACCATGCACGTTAGTCAAATGATGATTTTTCACATTGGTGAGGAAAGCATCTGGGCATAAATTTCTTGGATCCACACCGTGACTAACGTCGTACGTCATTATCAATCAAGGACTAATTGATTGATTAGTAGTAAGAATTAACGAACCACACACACATTATTAGATTGATGCATGTGCTTTGTTCGATAGTCACGGCCTTTTTTCTGGGAAGAATTTAGAGCATATAAGAAACTTGCCATGCATTTATATGAAGAGGTCCAATCTTTGATTAATCCATTGAGAAGAATATATTACACATCATCTATGATCAAGAAGTTTTACATTTACTTTTACTTCAAATGAATTATTTCAAGCTTGTTACGAATCTCATTTAAAAATAATTAATTTTTTGCAACACCAGGCTTGTGTTTCGAGAAATGAATTTTATTGCTATCTCAAATTTATAGCTACAAAAAAAGGTATCATAAGGTTTTACAATGCTTGAACATAATAGCGTCAGAGTTGTATATGAAGGTAATATAATTGTCAGGTTAAACCTATTTTTTTAATACTGAAAAGAAAGAATTCCAAATAATTGCCATTTTTTTTGTTCATAAAAAGATTTATTGCCCATCTCAAATAAAAGTGATTTTTGTTGTGCTGTTTTGATACAAAAACATAAACTTCTTTTTTGTGTGGGAGTGAAAATATTTTTTTAACATTTTACTCACACAGGGAGAGGCATGTTTATAACTTTGACGGGCAACAACTTTATTAATTAACATCATGATGAGATAGGGTAAAGTAGTGGATTTTCTTTTTTCTCCTTTCAATATGTATTAAACCGCTTATTTCTGTGTTTTGTACCTTATCATCCATAAAAATAGCTTTACATTTTCAAACATAACTCCTATTTAGAGACATGATAGGAATACAAAAGGAAAAAAAAAATGCAAGAACATTAGGAGTAGCATATATGATAAGCTCCAAATTAAGTATTTTTTTATGGCTCTCATCAGACAAAATTGCTCATGGGAATAAAAAGTCAAATGGATATCGTCCCAATTTTCAAACGGTGCGCTCTTTCATTGACCATAGTCCCTCAATCCAACAACAACTACCTCATAATTTTAAAAATTAAGGAAATTGTCCTCCCACAACCACCCTCTATACTACAGTATATACTTTGATCTCTCTCAATAAAGAGGTTAAAAAAAAGGTGTCCCAAAACAACATAGAAAGAAACTCTCTCTCTCTCTCTCTCTCTTTTTAAGCACCTTTTTATTCATTGAAAATAATAGTGCTAGCTAGCTAGTAGTGTAAATTCACTTTAACTAGCTAAGTATATCTACACAAGCCAAAAAAAAAAGAAGAAGAATGGGAAACAGTTTAGGAGGAAAGAACAAAAAGGCAGCAAAAGTGATGAAAATCAATGGGGAGACAATCAAGTTGAAGACACCAATCTACGCAGGAGAAGTGACGAAAGATCATCCGGGGCATGTGTTGCTAGAATCGGAGGCGGTGAAGCATTTCGGGATCCGGGCAAAACCATTGGAACCACAACAAGAGCTGAAACCTAAGAGGCTCTATTTCTTAGTAGAGTTGCCTAAAATCCCCGAAGATGATGATCATCATCAATCCAAGTTGTCAGGTCCTCGAAGGGTGCGATCAGGGATCCAGATGAGCGCGAAAGATCGCCTCGAAAGCCTAATGCTTGCGAGGAGATCAGCCTCAGATCTTACCCTCTTGAAACCCTCGTATCCATCTGCCAGCATTGTTCTTGATGATGACGATCTTGACCATCATCATCAACGCAATAATATCAATAATCTTAATAAAGCAAATTCATCATCAACAACAACGAAAAGTGGAGGAAGAGTAAGGGTCACAATGAGGCTTCCAAAGTCGCAAGTGGAGAAAATGATGATGGAGAGCAAAGATGAGGCCGAGGCCGCCGCGAAAATCGTTGATTTTTGCTTGGCAAATAACAGCAGCAAAGACACGGTGGCGGCGGCTGCCGGCGGAGTTGCTGGTGGTGGCAATTACAAGAAATTGTATAATACTACTAAATCGCGTGAGGTATGTTTTTGTTGTTTTGTTTTCTTTTTTGCTTCTATTCTACGCAATGAAACAGAACAATCCCAATTTGTGGCATGTTTAATGGAGAGTGGCATTTTTTTAATTGAATGAAATACTGGTTTTCGTGCATGAATGATGAGTACACTAGTTTGATGACATTAAGTTGAGTGTTCATGAAGATTAATCATCATTTTTCTTTGAAAATCTAAATTGATTAACAGCCAGAAAGAAGGTAAGGAAGGGCATTGCGGTGAGTAAATTCCTTCTGATGGTTATCAATATATATTCCTTACTCCTGAAATTATTGTCCAGTTAAAAAGTGAATTAAACGTAAAATTCAAATGGACAATAATTTTAAGACAAGAGAAATAGTTTAATTAATTGCCCTTGAAACTGTGTACAAGGGCAGCGTGAAAGATTGTTTTGCCTGTTTTAAAATAAAAATTACGTTAATAAATCATCCACCCTAATTTAAACGGGATTCGATTCATGATCACTAGTCTTTAGAATCACATTTCCTCAAAGTTCAGTTTTCACGGCTGGCAATGAAATACGCGTTATAATGTATGTGGCTCAAACTTAAAACTCAACTTTAGTATCGTGATATTTGGTTGAAGTGAAAGTTAGAACTTAACTACTAATTTAAAGCTTTTTCAAAATTGAAAAACCAATTCAATGAACTTGCTCTAAAATGATATGGGTTGACAATCTTGAAAGTGAGCTTTCTTTGTATTGCTTTTATTATGTAGGCATCATTACACATTTGGCACTTAGTGCGCACAAATTCAACTAAAATTGCAACCAAAAAAAAAAGATTTTTTTGATATATAAATTGTTGTCAAATATTTGAATCATTCCATGTTGTAGCAAAGTGATAAGGATGGACTATATCTAGCTGAAAGATGAAATTAAAAAAAATACCTAGAAAAGACTGAAGTTCATTAAATTTACATAGTCAATCGTACGAACGTGCAAAACCAAAACCTGGTCGCACCCTTTGAATTTTCACAAAGATTCTTCATTCTATTTGCGCTATTTGCCAAAGTAAAGGTCAAGAAAAGTTCAAATGTAAGATTATAGAATTGAAAGCTTTTGGGAGTTAAGGTTGGTTGTTAGTAGCACTTTTCACAGTCTTGTGTGGCTGACTAGTTGCCTTGTTTGATCTTAGTTAGGCAATTAACAGTCGAGTTGACTAGCTAGGCCATTCTCTTTTGCCTAAATGAACATCTTAGGGTTGTTATATTAGTCTGCACTTCAAATGAGAAATGTATCAATTTCAGTTATAGTCTACTTTTTGTTTCAAGTGTTTATTACTCCCAAAGAGGACAACATATATGTTTCAAACTAAAAGTGGTAACAAATTAAAGAATGTCACTACTCACAAAAGAGGAAGGGAAAATGTATTGAACCCAATTTTTAAACAACAAATTGTAGAAGAAAAAAAAAAGATATAACTGTATGTTAACTACCCAAAATTGATTGCAAATACTAGGAATTAATTAATAGTTAGGCATACCAACCAAAAACCCAACAAGATTCCCTACCTAATCCTGACAAAGTAATGCCAATTGCTTTAGTTATTTATTTACATTACTCTCTTTCTTTTGTTTTTTTTTTTACTATAATCATTCAAATGAAGATTCCCTTTTTGATTCCTTAATTTTTTTTGGTGCTCTACTTTCATTCATCAACACACTTTAATTTTGGGTTCTTGTTATTGTGATCGTTGCATCATTACAGAAACGTGTGGGATTCATGCCATTCACTGAAGGGGAAATTCAGATTGCAGTTTCTTAGATAAATTAACCAAAGCAATGATTAATGGCCATGAAGTGGTGTTCTTCTCTCCGAATTGATCCCAAGCAAAATTTCTCAGCAACCAGTTATGTTTTGGACTTGGTTGAGTTAATTTTGTGTATTGAAAGTGAAATGTTGCTTAATTTATACTTTTTGCTTCGAGGAGACTGGAGAGATGTGAAAAGCAATTTTTTTTTTTTTTGGTTGGATTGAGGTTAGCTCATCAACTTTGCTAGATTGACAAGCTAAGTTACAGACGCACACTTTATATGGGTGGTTTACTCTATGTCCGAAAATGATTGTCCGAACTGATAGATTGTCAATAATTGAAACTGGATAGTCATCTTAGACTTGGTTATCTCATAGCAGTTTATTATATAGGTTGTCAAAATATATAATATCCTTACATTCTCTAATAAAGGTGTAAAAGTTTTAGACGTTTCTGTTGCTGTGTAACATGGATCTTAGTCACCATTGAAGGATGATTATAATCATCATCTGATCAGAAGTTCAACTCGGGAACAACAAAATAAAAACAATGAGTTTTTTCCCCCTATCAAGAAATCAAGGCTCCTACAACGGGTGTAAACCTGTAAATAGAACAATGAAATTGTCACCATCCACTTTCACTGCATTTCATTTCCGCCATGAAAATTTTCTTTTCTTTTCTTTTTTTTAATCAAACTCCAAGAAAACAATAATGTTTTCATAACCTCTATGCTTACTTGAAATTAAAAAGGCCCCAAAAACAAGGGGAGAAAACAAAGAACTAATGAGAGTAACTCCAAAAATTAATAATGATGAGGCATAATGTATATCAAAATGGGGGGAAAAATAAGTTATTCACAGATAAATTGTAAATTTAAGAGTCAGCCGGAGGAATTTGTTCCTGCTGCCTCTCCTTTGCCCCCTTCTCCCTTCCAAAATTTATAGACTACAAGTCTACAACAAAAGAGTTCAGGATGATGACCATTGTTCAGGTACAGTGAGAAAGTAGGTAGTCATTGCCTTCCTGAATCTTTTCTTGTATTGTTTGGGTGAAATGATGGTTGGGGATGCATTCTTTGGTCCACCGAGTATCCCAGACGCTTTCACCCATGTCTCCAAATGCTTGTCCCAAGTGTACTGCCTCATGAAATCGATGATCCCTAAAACCAGTTCTTGCTTCTCGTCATCGATCCCAACCAGTAAAGAATAGTCCATCACGTCAGCGGACTAATCCCAAAAAAAAAAAAAAAAAAAGAAAAGAAACTTTAATCATCAATACCACGTTACATGAAAAGATATACTAAATATATTGTAAGTGCTTGAAGCATGCTAATGCAAGAACAATTACGAAGTTAAAGGAGCTCACCGCGAGGAAGGATGTGTCGTTCCAAACAGCTCTTTCCAAGCTTCTTTTTGCTTTGCTTCCGACAAATAAAGGTTTTGTCCTCAGCGTTTCTAAGAGATTCATGTCCAGCAACACTTTGTTAGCCCCAGTAGTGTCTGAATTGTAGCGGGACCTCTCTGAACCCTTGAGATCATAGACACGGGAGATTTTTCTTCTGAAGAAGAGGTTCTCCATGACCATCAGATCCATCCTTATCTCCTTCCCTCCTTTAGAGTGTTTGGTAGTCACCTACACATTGCAAAATACATTCAGTTGAAGAAGCTATCAGAATGGGTTGTAAGTAACAAAGGAATGCAAAAAAGAATGTGGCCTAACCTGATATATTCCCAAAACTTTGGCGAGACAAGTAGGGCTCCCTGAGTTAAGCGAATCTGTTAGATATTTAAAATATTCTTCAGCAAATTCCTCGAAAGATTCGAGCTCAGTCTTTGTGACTTGTTTTATGATGAATCTGTCATCCAAAGACTTGGCAAAGTAAACATTGCTTTTCCCCCCTTGGGCTCTCCATGGCTTGCAACGGCTCAAAGAGCGTATATAGTCCACTTGACTTGGGCAGCATTTCTTCCTCAGGGCCTCAAATTGCTTTGCAAAATAGCAAGTGACTGAGAACCTTGCCTTTCCCCCAACATTAGGCCCCTCATTCTCAAATGAAAATCTGAAATGAGGGGAAATCTTCTGCTCCGCAAAGATGGAACCAATTGCAGAGGAAGCATCTTCAGAACCATAATTTCCATAGTGAATATAATCGAGGTCCAGAGAGCCAAAAGAGGGCCAACTTGACAGATTGGAACCTGCTGAAATGCCTGTTTTAAAGTCACGGGCATTCATTCTTACTCCAACTCCATTGGCTTTCTCACTTACCCATTCTTCATGCTCTCTGGTACTAAGAGCATAAGTAATTATGCTAGTTGGCTCATTGTCATACACAGCAATAACAATATCATTTTGGCTATTCTGCCGGACCATCAATCTCGCTCCATCAGACAAGAGAGATGCCGCAGAGACAAAAGAAGGTGAGACATTCTTAAGAAGATCAAACCTTTGAACCTCACCGGGCGACATCTGGGAATAAGTCCTTTGCACACTGGAGATGGGATCTCTAATCATATTTCTATAATCTCCAGAAGCATGAAAAGATTTAAGCATCGTCAAATGAAATGAAGCAGGCGGAAGCCCTTTACTCATTCGTTCCTGAAGTCTCACTGCAGAATCAAAAGAGTAAACTCTGGAGGGTGACATTGGCCGTTTCAGAGGACGATTTTCAACTGGATGTATCTGCTTAGATAAGATATCTTCGGCTTTATCACCCTGCAGCAAATCAGGTAACTGAGCTGCTTCGACAACCTGACCACAACCAGTCCAAGCAAAATCTATTGTATCAGAGAGAACAGTCGCGGCAGAAGGGGCAGTTTCTAATGATCCAATTGCTGGTATTTTATCTTCTCTCCTATGTTCACCAGTCACTATTCTGGAATTCTCAGATTTGGTGCCATTTGATAACGCGCTAGGCTCCTCTGTCTTAGACTCTGAAGTTTCTATGGGCAATTCCTGAAACCTGGAAAGTTCACGAATATTTTCTTCAGGTAAGTTCTCAAACCTGCTATCTTTTACAAATGGCTCACTTCTTCGAGGTGCTCTGGAACTTGCATTCCGTGTGAGCAGGGAATTCAACGAATAGAGCCGGCGGTCCCAAACATGTGAACCAACTAAGAGCGAATGCCTTAAACGATTAAGTTCAAGGATGTCCAAAGCAGTCTCGTCAAGAATTAATGTCTCTTCGTCTGATATTTTAAGCATGTCCTGTCAAAAGGATGAGTAAGCAAAGAAGAAAATTTAGCAAATCGTGCAAACGAGTATAAAATGTAAAACAAGGCATGTTAGGTTACAGATACGTACATTGTAATAGTTCTTTTCCTTGCTGAGCAAATCATTCAACTGCACCACATGGTTATGCAACTCACCAACATCAGAATATTCAAGATCAAAAGCTGAAATTTTTTCATCAATATTGTGAAGACAACCAGAGATTTCTGCATACAAGGATTCCACTTTCTGCAGGAGCTGAGACCAGAGGGTTTAAATTTCAATACCCATCCAAAATAACAAAACAAAGAAACAATGGAAGTTTTTTGCAAGGGTCAACAGAGTAAGTCATATAATTTAGTACCTCAGTTACTTCTTTTCTCATCCACTCCAGCCCTGAAGCATTGAACTCAAGAACAGGAGGGGGCAAACAGACAGAAAGGATATCAATAGGAGAATACCGGAAGAATGCCACCATATTACCATAGCTGTTAGAAGAAAAATGAAACTGTCCGTTAAAACTGTATCAGTTGTCTCCATTGAAAATTGGGCAATTGGTGAATACTACTGTTTTAGTTTAGTCACATTACACATACGAAAACAATAGATCTTAAAGATGGTATGTACCCATAGTATCGTAAGCAGTCCCTTTGCAGCGAATGACCACAATTTGCAACACGATTGGCAGTCGCATGGTTTGAAAAGCTCAGTTCCAAGAATTTTCCAAAAGAGAGCCCCCAAGCAGCATCTGACATCACTACTCTGTGAGTTGCTGGTGGGATACCATCAACAAGAGGACATTTGAGACACCGATGCCACATCCATATTTTACCATCTCTTTCTCCAGGAAGCTTTACAGAGGGCAAGCGCTTAACATTTATCGTTAGATTACCCTCTTGGTGCGTGTAGCAAATGACATGGGCTTCAGTTGGTTCTTTGCACGATTGACAGCATGACGTCTGGTACAACAATAACAAATTAAAGCTGATAAAAAGATGCCAAAAAGGTCAGTCACTACTTAATTTGTGAAGAGTTTTCAAGCAACAGTTACCTGATCAAACAAATCATCTCTAAGATATTTCCCAAGAGGTTTATCAGAAGCACCATAGAACTTTATCCGAAGAAGCCGTGAACGCTCACATACAGTTTCGTTTGGTACACAACGGCTGGAAAAGGACACCAACAAACTTTGATGAGAATCAGCAGCGGAATAGCATTCTTCAATTTCACCAACACTGGTATGAGGTGCAATTTCAGAACCATCAACTGGCTGGCTCTCTTGTTGTCCTGTTTTTGTTGACTCCTCTTGGTTACTGTTTTGGATATCACCGGGAAACACAGAGATCAAATCGTTGAGACCTGCGCTGGCAGCTTCATCCTGTGCATCAATAGGGACATCCCCAAATCCACATTCCTCTGCTGCAGAACTACCACAATCAGACATAAAACTCTCAGAAGTTAATGGCTTCATTTTGTGTTTCGATTCAGGAGACTCCGATGTCACAAAATCAACTTCCTGAGAATCGCTCGAAAGTACACAATCCGTGGAGGTAGAAATGAGATTTTCAGGGGATATCCTCTCTTCTACAGGAAGGAAGGAATTAGCTCTTAATTTGGGCAGACTGGCACCCTCATCAGCCAGGAAAGAAGTTTCTAAAGACAAATGATAAGCTGCAAAAACAGCATAATGTACCACATGCTTCAGCTTTTTTAACTCTTCTCGACACAATCCCTTAAGCAGGACCTAAAAAAAGAAAGGAAACACAGTTATTTTCATCATTCTTCTCATTTCAGTGGCAGCTTCAGTAGCTACTAACAACAGAGAAAAATGAATCGAAACAAACAAAATTTCTTTTATCAAATGGTTTCAAATGATATCATCTACAGAAATTGTTGAAGCTCTAAAACTTTACATACCAACTTATGAACAGAACAAGAGACTCAGCAAATCTATTATTGTCGTTGGTCAATACATGACAATCAGGAAAAGTTAATATGGTCAAAACATGAATCGGACTAATGAACTGATGATATCCAAGATTGGTAGCGCAATCAATTCCTTACGAATTTGACTCTTCTTCTTTAAAGTCGGACAATTATATTATGGACTCTTAATTAGTTTGCAGCAATCCCTTTTCAGTATGAGGGGGTTAGAATATATCTAAATATTGAATACCAACTAGAAATATCACAATTTTCCGTTGACAACGTTACATTTTGACTGATAATTAAAATATTAGCTTTTTAAGGAACTGAGCGCCCAAGGAAATAAAGGCGAGAGAATATTTCTGTAACCGCTGATTGTTATTCGCAGTCCAAATAACGTAAAATCACCAATTTTCTGCCATTGGAGGAGACATTCTTACATACCAAACAAATAGAATTATCTTCGGACAGATTATATATATGTACGTGACAACAATAATAACAATAGTAATGAAACTTGAAATGCTGGAACAAGGTGAAACTCCCACTAAAATAAATCAAGCCAAACTGGATCTAAACAGACTTCTGAACACCAAAGTTATTCAACAAACCACAAGCTTTTTGAAATATAGTAAACCTATGGTGTGCCGTGTAAAGTGTAGATGTCATCAAACATTTATAAGTAGACACATAACACCATGACTATATCTACGAATAAATGAAAATTAAAACTTATTACAGTGCTGAAACCATAACAAGCAGCGAACGTAGACTATGAAACGTAGACAGCAGAAACAAATTGCAAAGATAGAATCACAAGAATACAAGATAGCAAGGTTCAACAAACTGAAACAGGACACTAAAGACAACTTCTAAAATTAAAAATCATCTTCACAACGCTCAAGAAAGTCATCTTCATCGCATACTGCACATAAGATGTAGCACACAAATAGAGAATCCTTAAACTCGTAAGATGAAAAATTAAGAAGAAGAAAATTAGAGTTGAGGCACCAACCGTGCATCCTAAACGTCTCGGACAGCCTCCAAAAAACATCAAAGTTTTGGAAGGCTTTTTGTTAAACTGATTGGAAGGTTCATGCTCCTCAAGGACTTTCTCCAAATGAAATAGTTCACAGTGCCCCAATCGTGCTGTCGATATTTTCTCAACTGTGGGAGTAACCAGAGCACCAGTGCACCTGGCTATCCGCTCCAAAAGTGGCCTTTTAACATTTAAAACTAACGAGATGTCCTTTGCTAGAAGATACTCTTGGGCATAAGAGGATACACTTTTTTCAACAAGTAGCACATTTGTTCGGAGGGCTTCTATTTTTGAAACAATCATCTTTAGATGATCCATTTCCTGTAATGCATTGAGAGTAAAGAAGTTATACCCAAAAACCTCCAAGAGATTTTTTAAACAAAAAAATGAATAAACCAAATAGAAAGTGACCTGCTGCCTTAGAACATTTAAAGATTCAAGCTGATTCGAAACACCTTGAAATTCAAGTGCTCCTCCCAACAGAAGTAATCTTGGGTTTTTGTATTGTGTATTCATGCGCTTGTGTTTTATATTTTTGGTACAAACCACTCCTTTGATAAATGTGCTGCATGCAACACAACACAAGAAGATTAGAATCAACTACTCTTCAACCATTATGTTCTCATAGACAATGAAAGAGTGAGATGGGGAATCCAGAAGCAAATGCCTTAGGTTGAAAGCAACGATTTACCTGTCACTAGGGCTTCCTGAGGCAACACATTTAACCTTGACATAGTCAGCAGGGTCCATGCTCCCTCCTCGGCTGGTATCAGGCTTTACAAAATTAGCTGCTTGCCAGGAAATGGCAGTAATTATGTCCAACCAGTCCTCAGGACCATTTTCCTTCCCCACCTTTATTCCTTCACTTTGCAGCAGTTGCGACACAAGAGCCCTAAAATGCCCTAGCACCACCGCTCTTAGTGGCTCCTTGGGGTCCATGTTGCCATTAGAAAAAAATGCGGTATTTGAACCCCCAATTTCATCATCCTCATCATCATATGAAAAAAAATCATTCTCTGTGTCCTCACTTTCATGTTCAGGACGAGGTGGAAACCAAATGAGATCATTGTTTTCAAAATCCAAAGGCTTCGGCAATTGCCTGTATTGTTCTTGGAACATCAATAAGTTTTCACCAGAGTCATCAGCAATCTCTGGATCCTCATTCACTTTTTGAGGCCCTTTTGGAACAGTTACATTTTCTGGGTCAAAGGGACCATCAGTGCGATATGTGGGGGTTGCCGGCTCTTTCTGTACAGGATGCCCAACTCTGTCGGAAATAATATGCATCCCAGAGGGGCTGTCAGAAGGACTTGATCCTACTGACTTAAAACTGTAAAATTCATGTCTAGTGCTAAAACTACATGTTTCTGTATCTGAAGTGTCATGAAAGTATTCACTTGATGGACTGAAAAAGTTACTGATGGAATCCTCTCCGTCATCTTCATCGCTTCTGCATCATTAATTTAACAATGTTATTGCAGTACTAGCAGAGATGCTGACCATCATAATTCAACTAAGAAACTCAAAAAAAAAAAAAAAAAATAGCATACACGTAAATAAGAAATGGCTTGAATTAGTCATCCACTTTGCAAAAGGGGCAAGTTTGACAAATTGAGTTTTAAATCTTTCCAACAGTACCCTGATAACAGACAGTATGTATCTCATGGGGGAAAAAAATTCAATTTGATATGTCACTAGAACTTTGTGAATTGTCCATGTGAATAATCATAACAGAAATTACCATAATTAAAAAATGAAATCTACAAATCATGAACCAACGTGGACACCCACCAAACATGCGCATAAAGATCACAGAGCTCATATTGTGATAAGGCAAACATCCACGGGGAAGTGAATGAAGTAATAATACCTGCTAAAAGAGCGACGAACTGAAACTGGAGAGAGATGACCTGAAAACAATGTAACACTACTTCGGGATACAGCTTGTGGAGAATAGCCAGTAATTCTTTCACTACTACAACTTGGAGATGGTGGTTCTGGACTTTGTCTGGGAGATTCAGCTGGGTAAATCTTATCGCTGTATTTCCTTTTAGCTTTAGGCTGTGTGCTAAGATTGGAGCAAAACTTACAAGAGCTGAAATTAACCAGGGACCCTTTCATACATTCTGAATCACCAAATACATCTTCAGAAGGGCCATAATCCTGCACACATTTTTCACACAACCACCTGGCACAGTTTCGGCAATGGTACTGAGGAGAAGACTCGGTGAAGTCTATCTCACACTCGTAACAAAACTTGCAACCATCACCAGCCATTGGAAATTCACCAGGCAAGGAACTAGGATGAGGATCAATTGCTCTCAGGAAAATCCAAGACCTAACCTTCTCGATCAAATCTAGTAGTGAACTATCAGGTATTCCCATAGACTAGCAAAATCCAACCAATTTTGCCACCAAAACAAAAACTTTTGACTCTGCTGACCCTCTTCTGTTAATAGTATCTTCTAAATTTAACAAAGACTATTGGATTGTCGCTATTGAAGAAAAACAAAAAACTTCTCCAATCACTGATGTAAACTACAAGAACAAAACCCACAATTAAAAAGGTGGGACTCTTATTTTTTTTCTTTTTAGTGCAAGTTAATGGTAAGTAGTATTTCCTTTCTTGGAAATGAGTGAGATTGGTACAAATGAACAACCAAAACACACTAAATTCCCCCTGGAATTACAAATATCTCAAAAGGGGGAAAATCAGACGGCTAATACTAACCCAAAATCTCGGTGTATATACAACCAAGTGGTATTTCCATGTACCAGGGAACTCGGAAAACAATGAAAAAATGGAGTTGATTTCAATCAAGGAAGAGAGTTAAAATCCCCAAAACAAAGCTCAACCAATCCCAGAATCATCAACCTTCGATTCCAAGATCGATTCTTGCATCAGCAACGGCTCAAGATCCAGAACTAGGCACCAGAGAAAAACAAAACACTAAAGTCTTTCAGGAATAAAAAACTTCACCATTACTCAGCTCAATCCAACAGTTGATGCCACCAACATATCTCATTTGGGAAAAGAAAAGCGAAAACCCCCGGAACCCACGAAGAGACATAAAAGTCCAACAAAGTTCCTCCAATTTCAACAACAAGAAGAAAAAATAGCAGAGACCCAGAAATCCCAGATCAATAAAATTGAAGTAAAAGATGAGGCAGTATCAAAAACAAGCCCGGAAAAGGTAAACCAAAAATCAAATCTTGATGATAGAACTGGAGTTGAAAACTTATTAGAAGAGAGGGAAAAGAGAAAAAAAAAAACTAAAGAATGATGAGGGTAAGAATGAAAAGGAGAAAAAGGAAGAGAACAGAGAAGTTTCCCTTTATAGTGGAAGAAGCAGCAGCAGTAATGGAGGATGAAGCTTTGGTTAAGGCTCGCATCTCCAGACCCATATTTTGATGTTGGTTTTGCTTCCTCCTCCACCTTCCTCCTCTCAGCTTGTTTCACAAGAACAACTCCTCAAAACCCAAAATTACTTTTATTTCCCAACTTTCCCGGCAGCAATGCTTTCATTTTCACACTCACCTTCACAACAACATTAAAAATACCAATATATATTCTTTTTCATACTCGTACATTAAATTGCAACATTGTACGTGACTTGTGATTTGTACAAATACTCCATCCACTCCCCCTTTATTATATCTCTCTCTCTACATGTCTTCTTCTACCTTATACAAATACAATGTTACACACAGTCACGCACTAGAATAGTGGGAATATCTCTCTCTTTCTTTTTCTCTGTCTCTGTCCCTTTCTTTCTCTTTCTTTCTTTTTCGTTATATACATACAATCCCACTTTATCTTTTAGTATGTCAAAAAAATGAGGCTGAATTCATATTTTATTGGGTTTCTTTTGGTTGTATTTCCATTTGTTTAATATTTTGGAATTTGGATTTGTTGAGGATTTTGTGAAGGTTTATGAGTAATGGTGAGCAAATGGGGTATAAGCGAGTTTTCGTGTATTTACAACAATTTAATTGCAAATAGTCCCTCTACTTTGTCTATTTTTGCATAAAACCTCCTAAATTGTGTACATACCTATTTTTTGGATCGTCTTCAATACAATAAAAGGCCAATAGTACTTTTAAATACATGGATAACGTACATCGTAAATATAACTGAAACTAAGAAAAACGAGTGGCTTGTTATCACCTATCCGACAATCTCGATATTCTTTTCATTAGAAAATATATATAATCATTGATTAATAAAGATATTGATTGAAATCATTTTAAGAGCGGGACATTTACGTTAACAAATTCAAATATAGTCATCTTTTTTCAGCATGAGGAATACATTTCTTATATCATGAAAAGGTTAGAAATATTCATGAGCGGAAATGGTAAGCAAACGTAAATATCTCCCGTATCTCTTATGAATTTAGAGCAGTCTCGGATACCTTTTTTTGATAATCAAATTTTTGAAAGGTATTTTGCGAAATAGGAACTTTTCAATGGGGTTTTCTTGCAAATTGTGTGAACGAATTCAATTGAGGAATAAAAAAAAATTAATTCGAATAGGTTTGAGAATTACTTGTTTAATAATGTGGGGGGAGGTTGAAGGTTCAGAAATGTGAGGTGCCATTGGTCAGAATCAGCGTAATATGGAATTATTAAAAGTACTAATTTTACTTGGCTGCTCGATTTCATCCATATTCTTCAGCACAGTCAGCGCCAGCGTTCGCAAATTGTTAATGTTTCACCACTCTCACACCAGCGCGTGCCAATCACTATTCTAGACTAGAGCCTTGCAAATTGCTTCCCTTTTTCTTTTACCTTTTCTTTGTTGTTGGTAAATTTAATTTTTTACTTTGTCAACAGTAATAATGCACTAGTAAAATTCAAAGGTACTTTTTCCTTCTCCTCTTTTTGGAAGAATAAATTCGAAGTTACTTTAAGTTGTCAAAATTGAGATTACGTGTTGTCTCTAATGGCTAATATTTACCGCGTTTTTTTTTAATATATATGTTCTGTTGACTTGAGAATGCATAAATGTGTACCGGAAATATTAAAAATTAATTGCAAAATTAGAAAGACAAAGAAAATACTTTTTAAGTTGGAGTGAAAAAAAAAAAACACTTCGGTTAAATCTTTCCCTCTGAGAAAATAATTATAAAACTTTTGTTTCAATCTCTTTAGACAAATATATAAAATGACCATGTCGATTTTCTCGTCAATGTTTTAACATTATTAGGTGACAATCGGGTTACAGGAAAGACCATTCTTTTGTGTTTTTTTGTTCTTTTGGATTAGATTTAATTTTAAAACTTGATATATTCTCCACCCTCCAATGTCAACAAATAAATTTTTAACCTAATTAAATGAAAAATTAATCGAGTAGGCAAGCTAGCTAATCTTTATGGAGTATCCACTATTGAACACCAATTTAATTTTAAGTTTCTGTCAAGAAAGATAATTTTCATTTTGGTACCAAATGTGGGTACGTAACAATTTAAATGCAATTTAGAAGTGGTTCATTTTTAAAATCTTGTTGAAACAATTTAATCTTTTTTTTCTTTAAAGAATGATATACTATCTTTTTAGAAAAACTGGAAGGCCCAGCAAGATATATAATATAATAAATACTGCATTTGTTAAAGGAAATTGGTTAATAAAGTTGGCTGATTACCAAAACTTTGTCATCAAATTATGATAATCGATCACATTAAATACCTACCGATGGATTTCCACGGGCATTTGTCATTTTGTTTGAGGGAAAAAAAAAAAAAAAAAGGCAAATCTGATCGATACTAGTCGATTCCCAAATATTTAGCACTTCAATTGATGAGATTTTCTCGATAAATATGAAAATCACAAATCAATTTTATTTACTTTCGTTTCAAGTTAACTATGTTTATCATAATTCAGTGATAAATCTAATTGCATTTTTTTTTTCTTTTTTCCTAAATTGATTAAATGGAAAAAAAGGTAGGCGGCCATAACCCATAAGCAGTGAAGTAAGCAACAAAAAGAATCTCCATGAGACTCATCGACAACCTCCCTTAGTTAGTCATGATCAATGTGGAAAATGGATGACAACCTAATCTTTAATTCATTATTTATTAGTAGTATTTGTTTATTTAATTGTTGTACTTGCAAAAAGAATGTAAGAGAGGATAAAGCTTTTTCAACCAAGAGGAATCCAGTTTATGGAATAATTAAATCCCATTTGGAATAATGAAGATATTATGAGTATGATGAACGCACAAATAGTATTCTTGAAAAACAACCACCGCCAAAAACGAACAGAATAATAATCACCATGCTCTATTATATATAAAGATCACCAACAGCAACCTCTAATTAAAGTACCATATCCAATCTAAAGACTTAAGTAGCTCAATGCACCATCAGCTAACTTGTATGTATGATTTTATAACGATATTCTAGGGTTATGTTAGTATATAATAATTTATATCCCAACATTTGTGATGTGTATTGTTGATCTTTTATGTGTTCACTGCGACACAAACTCGAATTATTATCAATGAACATATAATTCATTTATTCAGACGATTTGATTTTTATCAAGTTGATGAGATCGTATTAATAAAAATGACATACGTATTGAGAGATGAAAAAAACGTATTAAACGGTGTATATTATGTGTTTTTTCTTCATTAAAATATTCGAGTTGTGTCCTTTTAATAGGGGGCTGAGATTTACATATAAACAACAAAATTGATACCTTTTTTTCAGCATATCTTTCAATATGGGACGATGGCTCATGCATCGATCATGGCAGCTGGTTATTGAAGGAGATGGAAAAGGGGAAAAAACATGGGCTGAGAGGGATTTGGTAGCTTTAGTTAGGCTTTCGGTTTGTATGAGTCGACAAAAGTTATGTGTCATAGTATGTGGATTTTTGTATGCAACCATGGTTTGCCGAAAGATAATTCATTTCTTTTCATTTAACAGGTAATAACCAACCCCCCAATAATTTCACTTTATTTTCTTGGAGTTTTCTTTCATCTCATAAACAAACTATGTGCTATCATATTCCAATCTGTGTTTGCCTAGCGTTAATTTTATGTCACACAAACTTTCTTATTTGAAAAGCATTTATACAAACTGGGATTCTGATATCAAATAACGTAACTGACGTGCCAATTGTTTCTTATTTGTCTATTTTAAAAGTTTAGAGTTCAAATATAAAATTACTCACATTCAAAATGTTACACATAATCACTCTCTATAACACTATACAATATGGTGTAGATAACAACAATTTTTCATTTTCCATAAACAAATCGATGAAGGTCCATTTTTTTTTTTCCATTTCCTTTTTCTTTTGATGAGATAAGCCATTAAGCAAGCCGCCCTAAGGAGTTTTTTCTCCATATTCATCATCATTCATGAGTCATCTTCATGTGTGGGGATTAGGATAGTGATCGAGTTGTGTAAAATTGGGAATTTCAAAATGTCTCAAAACCCTATTTTCATTTCATGGCTAGTACTTTTTCCAATTATAGAGTAATCCATATGGTCCTGCTATTAACTCGTGTGTTTCAATTGTCTTGCCTAAGGTCCTACTCAAAATCCTCTTGAAAGCGCACCCCCCCAATTCCAAACATTATTAATTGAACCAATGTACTCTCAATTTTTTTCCCCTTCAATTTGTGATGGTTTTGCACTTTGCGTGGTGAAGGAAATTCATATCAAAAAAAAAAAAAGTTTTACTTAATAATAACGATTGCTGAAAATTTTCAGTAATTTTTACTTATTTATTTCCGTTTTTCTATATATTTGTTGCTTTCTATGAGGAAGATGAAGAATGTTGGACTTAATCCTCTTTTGATGGGGTCAGGATAAGCTAGATAGGGATCTATATATCAGTCTGTGTCCTTTCTTTTTCCCCGTTTTCCACTATTCTTTTTGCAAATTTCGCTTTCTAGTGATAGACAATTAAAATATACTACAATAATTTCACTGAATTAATAATAATTATAGTTGAGATACTGATTTAAAATTTTAGCATGTCAAAATAATGAGCGAGTGAGGTAAGATACTTTAAGAGTTAAAATAGAGATTCTTATTATTACGAGATTATAAATTCGATTTGTGTGGTGCTATTGAAAAAAATATATCATCATTTTTTTAAAATATATATTTTACCTTTTTAAGTACTGTAATTTTTTATTTCATCCCTCTCATTTTATACCACACAATTTTCTAAACTTTTTCACTTGGTGTTTATTTATTAACCATTCTGCAAGTGTGACTCTCGTGCCACAATGGGGGACCATATCCGTAGGTTTAAAACAATTAAGAAAGGTGATAAAGTCGGAGATAAGAAAATTTGGCGGACGTAACTTATTGGTTAGGTTCAGTGGCTTGATTGTTCAATATGTCCTAACTTCTTAAGAAAATTAATTCAATGGTAGAACTATTCTTTTTCCTTTTATTAATTTGCAGGTCATTTGCTACTCGTGGCGAGTGGCCAGGCTAGGGGACGGAGGGGTGCGGTCGCACCTGCTCAATTTTTTGTAATTAGTCGTGATGTCTTAAATTTTAGTAAAAAATTACTCCCTCCATTTCAAAATGTAGTTCGTTTTAGATTTGGAGAGATTTTTCAAAATGTAGGTCGTTTTACAAATTTTAGGCAAATTAATGACTATTTTTCCAACTTTACCCTCAATAAATGATGTTAATTTATTTTTATTTAGTCTTGTTTATAGTTTCAATGTAATTAATGAGGGGTAGAAAAGATATTTAACACATAAAATTAATTGCTGGATGATTGTCTCCTTAATTTACGTGCCAAATCTAAAAAGATTTACATTTTGAAATGGATAGAGTACATATTTTATAATTTTCGCACCCCCTACATTAATTTCTTATTTTATTAGTAAGTATTTTCTAAATTTCGCATCCCCTATCTGAATTTCCTGACTCTGCCAGGCGAGACAATTCGTAAAGTAATGAAGGATTTATTTCAATCTCGCTATCATCAGCCGTCGGAGGGGAACTAAACTTTAGGCTAAACAATTTAGTTAACGTTATTTGTCTTGTATAAATCAGTCACCTTTCGTATTTATAAATTCCATAAATGCATATGTATTTTCAAGATCGTCACTAATGTGTGATGATACGTAATTATGACGAAGATTTAAAGATATAAACTAAAACAGAAATCTAAGGATATGGTCAAAATTTATGTACATTACTTTATCAAAATAGCGTTATTATTACTTTTTTTTTTTTAAAAAAAAAAAACAGGTAGAGAGTACTATGAGTGTATTTGTTATTTTCCTATGGTTTCTTGTCAACTGACGGATCATGACATAGTTTTACCCTAACTTCCACCACCCCTTTATCCTTTATTTTTGGTTTCTTCCTTTTGTTTTGTCAAACATGATGCTGATCTTTCACTTATAACTTATCCCTCAGTTAACCCGTCATTGTGCTAGAAGGGAGTTTGCAATAAATACTCTACTCCCTCCCGTCCTTATTATAAGATATTTTAAGTTGTTATAGATTTATTCTGAATTTAACATAGGATGTCTTTTTAATTGAAATAAAAACCTTAAAAATATTTCGTAATATTTAGGAGAATACGACGAATATGAAAATATATTTTTAAAGTTTTTTTTCCAATTAAAAACACATGTTAAGTAAAACTTAAGACATAATCAAAATGCCTTATAATAAGAACAGGGGAGTAATAAAATAGAGCACACTTTATTTGCATGAGACTTCATAACAATTGTTTTTTGTCCACGGACAATAAATCAAGCTAATATTTTGTCTCAAATATTCTTGAAAACATGAGTCCCCTTACTGCCAAAATTTTCCTTAACCTCCCTCATGTTTTAGTTTTTATTATTTTCTTTATTCTTATTTTTTTATTATTTTGTTTAGATGGAACTACGATTCATTTTTCACCAAAAGTTGTGATATTTGCCTAAAAAAAAAAAATAATAACATGAAAATGGAGGACAATGAAAGACATGCTTGACCCACTTCCTCATATTTTTCGGGAAAGTGGAAAAGTATTGGCTGATGGATATGGGCATCAAAATTCAGATGTGATGCATTTCTACAATGACCCGAACTAGTTCCTTCGAATTTATATACAATCAAATTTTCTATAATTACTCTATATCTGAAAAAAAGATGAAAATTTACTCAAATGAAATAAGAGAATCAGTTTGAATGTAATATATATCTATTCATAATATGTATGTGCTTCGTGTATCTAAGCACTAACTTGAATGCATGTGAAATTATGTTAGGAAAAATATAACCGTACATTTAATTAAAAAAAATTAGAAGAAAAACTGACAAAGATGATTATAAACTAAACCGGTACGGTAAAACTGTTCATATTTTACATCTCTAGTAGTAGATTCCTTCAACTACATCATTTCTTATAAATTTTCACTAACTCATCATCACTTGGTAAAATTTACCCACACGAAAATATGTATGAAAAAAGCAGTAGTCAAAGAGACATAAGTGTAGCCATTCATTCTCCATGGGAAGGTAATTTCCAGAATTGGGCCTTTGATAATCCTTTTTAGCAATATGTCCTCCCAATTTGGGCCCTAAATATATCAATTTGACAATTTGTCATAATTCTACGAGGACTTTTTGATGTGGTGGAGAAATGGTAAATCACTTTAATTAAAGGCTAGTTGGTTGAGTGCATTGCACGAACTAAAAAGGCCTTTTCTTTTTTACCTTGACCAGCAAGAATACAGTAGAAAAGGGGGAAAACCGAAAATGGAAAGGGGGAAAGTGGAGAATGGGAAATGACTTGGCCGAATCAACACGTAAAAAACTGATCAAGACAGAAGAAACTTCAAGACAAGTCTAATCCAATACGATTGGTAGAGGAAGTGGATTTTTCAAGAGATTTCTCAACGACTAAAATTTTATTTTATTTTATTTTTTTTTTTAAAAAGAAAAGGTGAGAAATGTGAATAGTGCCTCCAATAATAATAAATGGACTAATGACCATAAAAATTGTGGGTGTATGGGTATGCTTTCCTTTTTGTCAAAAGAAAAGAAAAGGTTTCCAGAAAGAAAGGAGTTGTGTTGTGGGTACAAAATGCAAAGGTAATGGTGCGGTCATATACATATGTTTAAAGTTAATTGTAAATTTATTAATCCCCTCCTTCAAGTTTATGTTTTTGTTTAAACACACCCTTGAATGATCAATATCTTGTCTTATCATCCACACAATCAATCACCATTTTGGTCGGTCGGCAATTTAAAATACTTTGATTTGACGAATATACCGAAAAGAATGTGATTTTTGGAAAATAATGAAGTTTCCATGTTAATTATGATATTAAGTTGTGTTTTTTTTTTCTTTTAATTATGTCTTTCTTTTGTTGAATGATTTCTACTAGATTGTGCTTTAATTTCTTTTTAGAATTTGCTTGTGATTAATTTCCTTTAAAAAAAATATTGTGAGAGGAGAATAATCTACATCTACATACACAAATCCAAGGCATCAATTCTATTTAGGGCCTCAATTTCTTGTTCCACATTTCATAAACTTCATTTTCTTCTTCCTTTTTTTTTTTTTTTTAATCCGTTCATCATCTGCTGTGTTGCCGTGGGTAAACTGGCCTACGTCCATCTTCACCCATTGATTATCATCACTAGTTCTTTTATATGACGATCGATTATGGGTTTATTCAGAGACAGTTCCTCATCTTAATCATTGGACATTTGGACTACATTCATCTTCTCCCATTGATTATCACCTTATATATTTGCCAACTTAGTGGATGAGCCAGTAGGCATTCAGCTATATTTCTAGTGAAGTTTTCTGAGGTTATCAATAAAAAGCTACTACTATTAAATAAATATGATTGCTTACTCAAATCAATAGAGGCAGTGGACACATGTTTTTTAGTTCAAAGTTCAAACTATCAAGAAAACATTTCTCCTGACTACTGCATTACTTAAACTAACGTTTCCACAAGGTAATTAAACTTTACTATTCAAGGTGATGAACATATCCCAAATTGCAATGATGTCCACAGGAGAACTAGTCCTTCAAGTAAATTGTTTGCATATAAAAGTTCAAAAAAGCAAATTATAGTTTATACAGAACTGCTATTTATCAACTACTCCATAAGTGTGAAATTTTCATAATACAACACAACTCTCAAGCTTGGCCTCGGAAAGGGAAGCAATCGCTTTTTTCGGCCAGCATATTATGGGAAAACAAACGAAATGTAAACATAAGAAAAAGTTTTTGTATGCTCACGCCCGTTTTGTACGCCGGCTTACTTCTAATGCAAGCTCCGTGTCGATCTTCAATGAAATGTCTAGTGCTTTAACAGAGTGGGTAAGTGCACCACTGCAACATTTAAAAATGGCAAAAACTTTTAAACATCAATTCAGATCATTACAAAAGCACTACAAGATGAGGGAAAAAAGGGAAGACTGAAAATGACTAGCAACACCTCTAATTCTATCTGGACATTAGCGGCTCAAGCTATAATTAGTACATAGATGGGTAACACTCATCCCACTTTGCTCACGAAGAATTACATCAGAATACGAGCATACATAATGGCTTCCATTTCAACATCATCACCAAATAATTAAAAACTAAAAGAGTACCTTGACGGGACATTCACTATGTTACCATCACCATGAGGTGTAATTCATTTGCTAAAACGTCCTTAACAAGTTACAAAGAAACAAGAAAATGGACTAATTGAGTACTTAGTGAAGTGGAGACGAGATCAAACTACCTCATTCTTCTGTTAGTGGCAAAGACATAACTTTCTGTCTTAAGTCAATTCAAGGATGTTCCTATATTGTCGCGCATACCTCAGCTCCTATAACAACTACCAGTTAAAAGACTCGAACAAAACTTCAGGACCTGAAAATTACCTGGAAATATAAGTCACGCCCGTTTGGCCAATCTTGTGAACTGTTTCAAGAGTCACATTCCCAGATGCCTGGCAAAGGATAAAGTTTTTCAGGGTGAATATCGAACTTTTAAAGACAGAATATCTATCAAGGAAAAAAAAAATGTAAAAGTGCTGATTTTTCTTTATAAATATGGGAAGGCAGAATCATAACATTTTGCTTAAAGGGCATAGCAGTATCAGCAAGAAGAAAATGATACTCATTAATGGAAAAGAAAATGATACTCAAATGTCAAGTCCAATACAGAGGAGAAGTGAACATGCTAAGCCTGAAGCCAGAGTCTCTAACTGAACGAAAAAATGTCTGGATTATAGAACTAATCAATGAAGTTTAAAAGCCTAACGCACACCATTTAAAAAAAAAAAAAAAACCGGTACCTCAGTCTCGAATCTCCCTCCAATCAAATCCACGGCTTCTTTGAGCATGGACACATCGACATCTCCATCAGGTAGGGGGACAACCATGTTATCCAACATTATTCTAGTCAGTGAAGTCTTTGATCGAGAAGCATAATCCAACACCTCATTCACTTCTTCCAGTGTTCTGGTTTCAATCTATTAGTAGACAAAGAGTAATTTATTAATTCCAACTTAGATTTGACCACAAGCTACACATTCGTTTCAGGCACAACATGCATTAGGACACAGTGAGATAAGGATTTCATGTGATTGCCAATCATAGCATTAAGCTCCTGATTGAAGGTTGGATTTGATTAATCAAGCTGAACACAGGTAGTTATAAAAATTACCTCAACTCCCATTTGTAGATTACTACTCTCCAGGTATAGGTCGACAGCTTTAAGAGCTTTTGTCACGCCACCAGCAGTCGATATATGGTTGTCTTTGATCAAAACCATATCAAATAAACCCAACCTGTGATTCCTGCCCCCACCTATCAACACCTGTAAAAAGAATGATGTCAAGGTCAGAAGAAAGTATGTACAGTAGTAAAAGATAAGAAAACAGAGGAAGAGAAGTGAATCTACACCGCCCATTTGTCCACCAAACGTAAACCTGGAGCAGTCTTTCTTGTCTCTAGAATATATGCTGGATTAGCAGCATCCGCCATTGCCTAAAAGATGTAAGACGTTCAAAATGACATCAGGAACGTAAATGAAGGTTCCACGGCCATAAATTATCAAGCGTAGTAGCAAAAGCTATCTTAATTATAATTTAGCTTTGGCGTGGGCACTTTTCTTGTGTAACAATGACGATGTTGTTTATACTCATGCTGAAGGCTGAAGCTGGAATTGTGTGAACCAATGCAAAGATATTCTGACAATGAATGTTTAGGGATCTTTTTAATCTAATCATATCGCGCAAAGAATAAGGGAACTCTGTCTTCAACCAATTTGAACTTTTAAGAATTTTCAAGTACACTACGTGAGATCCAGTTTCTCCAATTATTCTTTTTATTTATATTTTGTGGCGGGGGCTTTGGTGGAGGGGGATAGTGAGAAAAATTATATGGTGAATTATATTGTGTTTACGTGCCATTACATGTATATATATGAGACAAGGATAGGCAAGGAGTACCACAAGCTAAAAGTACCTTGGTCAGGGTAGCTATTCCACTCATTCTCTGCATAAAATTGAGCACAACTCTTTCAGCGATTACAATGCTGTGCGCCTTCCCTGCATAATTTCACAGATGAAAGAACAAGAATAAAGATAACTTATACTAATGTCACAGTTGTTGATTTCAAAGAAGAGTTTAAAATCTTATTTACCATTAACTTTGCCAAATTGGAGGCCTTTCTGAATACTGTCACCATCTTTTTTGGACCACTCTACCTATCACATAGATATAAGATATAAAAGCAGGTAAATCACTGCAGAAGAAACAATAGAGACAGTAAAATTACAAATACTGTACAATTCTCTTTATTAGCTTTTAAAGCTGTTGCGACCTAAATGCAACCAAAGAATATCAATGAGAGGGATTAAAGGTGTTTGAGAACTTTTGAAACTTTGGCCAGCCAAACAAGAATAATTGAGTAATTCCAAATAGCAAAATATAGTTGCCTGTTATTTGGAACTATGCACCACCTTCTCTTTTCTCTGCCATGTTACGGGTCAAAATAACTCGTCTTTGCACGTGAAATGCCCAGAAATCTTATGACAATTTATAACTATTAGAGTACCTTCAAGGATGGGTCAACCTCATGAAACACCATTTCAGCAAGAGCAATTCCAGCAGCTATACCATCCTCCTTTGCCAGAAAATGAGCTTCGACTTCCATCTCAACTGGAATGGTTGCCTGGCAGGTCACATCCCCTAGAATGAGGCAATGACATTAAAGCAAATTTACTACCAGATTTTTAATCAACCATTTGCTGCTAGCATTCTTAAGAAGTAATCAAACCACAGCTCATGAGCAGAACTCCAAAGTAGGTAGATGAGCTGTTACGCCCTGAAATTATCATAATCTAGCCTATCCCTAAACTAGCTCAACTTCTGTAACCAATATATGCTTTAACAAATATCATATGCTCTAATCTAAAATGCACGTTACAATTATAAACCGAAATTATCTTTTCTTGTACAGCTCAATTTATAAATATTGCACTTAAACTGTACATCTGGATGTTTCTACCGACTACCCTAATTCATTTGAGATACATTTTGTTTGCTTCCAGTTGATCATCATATATTTCTTACAGTTCTTTCTCCCGTAGAGGTTAATAACGATTAAGAATGATGGCCTTTAGGCTACAATGCCGAAGGAAGTCCTCTTGTGCCACATACATCAGTCATTATGTGCCGCACAAAACTACTCTCAAGTCTCAACCTAAGGGAAAAAGTGTGCTCTCGCACCTTAAAGAGGCTCTAACGCGGTACAACAACAGCTCTAATGATTCCATTTCAAATTTTGATTGCAACCTTGAAATGTGGAAAGTTACTTGAAAAGAAAAGTGCACAAGATAAGACCACAACATTCTATTTGTCTCCCCTATTGCATTCAATTGAAATGAATTAAGCACCAAAAGAAGGACAAACACAAACGCCGAACAAAATCAGAACGGGACAACAGGAAACATGTGGTGAATGGAATTACCTCTATCACCAGCATCTTCAGAGAGTGCCAATTGGATAACCCCCTTCAAATCATAAGTGGGATGTTCAGGTGGCTTCACCACAAGGGACCCAACTGTCTTAACTCCACCATTTGAAAAAGCTGTTGCAGACATGTTCATCGCAAACCTGCAAAAGAAAAAAAAAAAAAAAAAATCCCCTGAAGTCAGCCTTATTCCTCAACAACAAACAAAACCCACATAATTTCCACAGAGAAAACGCCAAAAAGTAACATAAAAAACACACGAATCGAACGCTCGCACGGATAGGTTAGAATATTAAAAATAAATTCTTGGTTGGATGGAATTGAAGAAGAGAGGATGAAGCATAAAAAAATGGGAGACAAAAACATAACAAAAAAAAAAAAAAACTGAAAAAGAACAAACCTCGGAGAAGATGATGATGGAGTGGGGATTGGAGCAATAAGATAAGGCCGGAGTCGGAGCATGGATGGAATTTGGCGCTTGTCCGGCGATTCTTCTATCGGAATTCTGCAAAAAGTTGAGTGCATAAAGGGACTGAGAGCATACTGCCACCCATGTAAAGTTTTCTACTTTACTTTTCTTAAAGATATTCTTATTATAGCAAAACGCCCCAAGTTTTTCTTTATTAAAAAAGAACCACATTATGTTTTCTTAATGTAATAAAACACGCATTCCTAACTATTTTCTAATCACAGGGAGCACCCCTAATGTTTTCCTTATTGTAAAAAACTATCCAATAACCATTTTCTTCTTCTAACAATAGTCACTTTCTTTTCTTAAGGGCACAATATTTGATCTTTCACTAAACTTTACCTATTTGTTCCTCCAGGAAAACAAAAATCTTAACGTTACCTAGGTACACAAATTTATGCTACTCTTCCATTTTTTTGTTAGGAACCCGGGCATGGGGAAGCAACAGTAAAATATTTGTTGAGAGAATTTTGCCTTCCAAAAAAAGACCTACTCGTCGGAGCAATGATTTCGAATAGCGGATGCATAATATATATAAAAAAAATTGTTATCCTACATTATTGTCAAGGTATTGGAACTGGTTCTACTTTTTGACTACTGTCATCATTATTGTTACATAATGTATGTTTAATACCATTTCCGACTAAAAAAATTCGGTTATTAAAACTAAAACAATATAACAAATAATTTTCTTTTCCCGTAGTAGAGCGAGCATTTTTCAATGTCCAAAAAAAATACTTTAATATGGAATTAGTACTTGGTGAGTCAAACATCCAATAGAACAATGATACAGATGAGAAAAAATAGTAAAAATATATAGTGACTGATGTGTGCATAGTAATTAAGGGTAAAAGAGTAATTTTAGAGGGAAAGAAAAAATTTCAACGATAAAATGACAATAAAATAGGAGGTACACATTCTATCCAATAACAACACACCCAAATCTACAGGGGAAATTGGCCGGCAAGAAGAGAAACATATAACATCAATCCATCATTCCCAGGGTTCAAAAATCGAAATCCTGCCAACTAATTATCTTCCAGACCGCCAATTAACAATGCACTTTGATTAAATTAATCATTTTGAAACCATGCATGCATGTCTGAAATCATATTATTGGTTTAATCGATTAAGTTTATTCTTTTGCCTTTCTTAGAATTATTAACATAGCAATTCTTCTGTCAAAACTCAAAACATAAATATATAGACGGGAAAAGTATATAGTTAAGCATGTTCATTTGTCCAAAACGTAAAATTAACCATTTCTTTTCTATCTGATAACGTTAATAGTAGTCGTAGACCGCGTAAAGTTTAGCTCAAAACAAAACCATTTCCAGTTTTGTCTATTTTGTCAAACTGACAGTTCAACTTCTAATTTCAGCCTTTTCAAAAAAAAAAAACCTTCTAATTTCAGAGACCGATCAGCAGATATCTATCAATTCGGTTTTCTTATTAAATAAGTTAGCAGATCAATTAATAAAAGGTTAATCAAGAATTTCTAGTTCTTATTATCTGATAAGTTTTAATACGTTACACTCAAATTAATCTTTACAATTAGAAATATCAGAGAGTCAATTGAATTGTCCATTGCCAGTGAAAAGTCGGTATACCGTAGAGTTTCTAGATATTGTGTCTTTATGCTTGGACAGGTCAGCATGATGGAATTTCCACTAACAACAACCATTATTTTAACTCAAACTTTTAGACTTTAACTAACATTTTTAGTGCTAAATTGTTCATTTTTCCTCAATGTATATCATGTGGTTTTACTTCATGCATGGCACGCCCTTTATTCTCAAAATGAAATTAAGGAAGTAGAACAAATCATTATCGAATACATATATCAAAGAGTAATGATCGATGCTCATCGCATTAACAACTACAGTATGACTTTCTATATTGACCACCACCATCCTCAATAGATTATAAGATATACGAATTTTTTTAATGACAAGTGTATCTGCATGATTATATATATTGACGTCCGTTGGTGTTTTTAATAGATCTAAACCACTTAACAAACTGAATGCATTTTCATTAACCAAATAAGTCCATTCGCACGAACTCAATGGTAAAAGGGCATCAATGGATTCACACACCACAAAAAGCATAGCTAATTTGCACAATTAATTAATTAAAAAAGCCGTCGAGCCTGCTTTTCCAAATCCACTCAACAATAGGAAACGCAACAAATGTCACCTCCCGGATTGTCCTTTCTTTCCTTCGGGTTTGTCAAACAGAAAGAATTTTTCCAGTATGACACTAAAAAATACATCAAAAAGTCCAAACAAAAAGATAAGAGTTTGGTGAATTAGATAATAATATCATGGCGCACACACGTACGATTAATTGATTTCTTGTGAAACATGCATTTCTAAAATGGCTGCCCCGGATGCCATTGCCCATTGATATTCAAAGTCTTCCAGCATCCAAATTTCTGAAAAGTGTCAAATTCTCCATAAAGCAAGGGGACAAAGAAACTTTCTTTTGCGTTGAAATTCATACTATTTCATTCCCCTTCACTTAGTCCACCATCTCAGACGGCATTCAAATTCTTCCATCCCATTAGCATCATTATATATCATCAAGTTAAAACCCTCTTAGCCCCCATTACAATTTGAAGCCGAACAAAATTATTGAAGACGAAGAAGAAGAGAGAGAAGAAAAAGAAAACTCATCGATCATACGATATATTCATATATATCGATTGATCGATGATCATGATACACCGTGCGAGGTTAGCATTGATATTACTTATGGTAGTTTTTGCAACAACAGGAGAAAGCATAAGAATGATGAAGGATTTGGATAGGGATTTTGGGAGTTTGATTGGAGCAAGGCTTCCTAGAGGACCAGTGCCTCCTTCAGCTCCATCATTATGCCATAACAAGCTTGATCCTTACAGTCAACAAGATTCCATTGATTATAATTCACCTCCTTCTGATCCCACTCCCATTTGTCCTTAGCATTTCCAACCTCTCCATTAATTTTTTTTGGCCGTTTTTTAGTATAAGGCCTAACTGCTTTTTTTCTTTTTTCTTTTTTTTTCTTCTCTTTTTAAAATCTCTAAAGTTGAATTATAAGATTTTGCCGGCCATACACTATCTCTTGATTGTTAACCCAAGATTCTTTTGTTCATTTTGCTTCTAGGAGGGGAGATCTAGAATATATGATTATATATGTATAGATTCGTGTATATTTTACGCATCCAGCTACATTGTAGCATTATTAATGAATATATAGCTTCTTCTTCTTCTTTTTTTTAACCATTTATATATTCTAAAATGATTGGAAGATACCAATCCAATATGATACATTTAGATTTAAATGAATTTCAATATTCATGTTCTAGATCATCGTGTTCATATATTTAAGTTGCTTCTTTTTATTTATTTTTTCGATTACGCCACCTTAGTTTACAACTAAAGGACTATAAAGACTGAATGAATCTGAATTGGTAACTAAGACTGAGATACTAGATGAACTAAATGCAAACATATTGTTTAGACAGTGACATGATGAAATTGCAACATACATTTCCCTGACGCCCCAAATACTTTAAAATCAGAAGGCCATGCAAAAGAAACAAATCTCGAGGACCCTGAATAGTTAGTGATACTGAATGATCTGCTACAAAATTTGTATACATGAGTCACCTTTGGCTCCAATGAACGGCCTAATACTTCCCGAATAAACTTTGAATCTATACCACCAACCAAGGGGCAGCTTCAGAATATTATAGCCGTGTATATTTGTAGTATTGCTAAACTGTCGGTCAAAGTCGGATCATCTCACCAACAAAAAGAAAAATTAAAAAAAAGGACAATATCGACAATTACAAAATGACAATTTGATTGATTGACGTAGTAATTGGTGATAGTTTTATTAAATGGTCAGAAAAGTTTGGTAACCATTCAACGAGCAGCTTCAAATGCCGCAATTAACAGGGGACACAAACCACGGTTAAAAGATGCATAAATGTGGCCATAACGCTTAAAATAATTATGGTTTGTAGCATTCGTTTTTTAATTATTATCACTACAACAAAAATGAGTAGTTTAGACACTTTTTTGTGTCTCAATAAGTGGTGTAATAGGACACATGTGATTCACATTGCGTGGGACACTATTAAATAATGTCTTCTATAATCGAGTCACAATAAGTCATAAAACATTTGAAAGTGTATTATTAGATTGTCACTTATTAAGACACTTTAAAGTGACCCATTAAGTAGGGTAATAGTTCACAAGCAACCCCATATAGCACACTTATGATAGTGTTTCATAATATGCATACACTTTTTCATTTTTAATAAGACACTTTTTAGCAAATGTCCTAATACACATATAATGAGACACATTTTAGAAAAAGTGTCCCTATTATAAATGTATTAATAGCCCATTTTTGTTGTAGTGTATATACTCTAAAATAATCCGGATTCAAGTCAAATAGATCTCTTTTGAGAGATAAAACTCTCCTAACAAGTATTGCATGCATGTGTCCGGGTTTAATTCGGGCCATAGCTAATTAGGCTAACCAATACCTCTACCAATTGAACCAAGAATTTGTTGGTTATTGCACCTAACTTAAATGTGAGAAAACTCCCCTTACACACAACGGATGAAAATCGATCCCTAAACCTCTAAAACATCCATTTAGAGCCTTAC